TGACAAACTGTAATGGCTACTATGTGTTCTTACTTCCCGCAACACCGAGTTGCTCTTATCGTTACTGCACTAGCTGAAGAAAAAACACAAGGGCCTTTTCAACCAGTTACATTTTTATCCTTCATTGCTTCTGAACAAAAACTAAATTTCTCTATTCACCAGCAAATACTTGTTGCTGATCACGAACAATGTTCGCTTCTTCGCTGTTTCTTCCTTTCTCCATGTGAATTAATATGCATAAATTACCAATAAAATTGAAATTCTTATTCTCATACACGCAGTACAAGAGGAACAACAGAATTCAAAACAGCCCATAGAGCTGTTTTTTTTCTAGCATTAGTTACGATCGAATGGTGAGCAGGAGAAACGAAACAATTCTGAGTGGAGTATCTGTGAAATACGCGAACACGTACGAACAGCTCGAAAAGAATTTCAAGTGTTTCGTAGTTCTATCTACCACACCTTGAAGGTTTCAGAGAATTGAAGCAAAATCGAAACGCTTTTAGCCTCCGTATTATGTGCAACACCTTGTTTTTAGTCCAACAAACAGTTTTGGGCTCGATGTGGTACCATTTGTTTTTCAGTGTACTATTATCAGCAAATATTTTTAAAAACAACTATCATGTTATTTTAGCTTCAAATGTTGACGTTCGCTTGCTCATTTTGTTTTATTAACCATACATTAAATTATAGTGTCGATGAAAATAAATTATATGGTGTAACATAATGAGTATTATGCTCCAATAGTTTGCTTTTTCGTTGTCCCAAATCTTACTTTGGGCAGAATGACAAACACTTGTTGTTGACATGTAATAAATGTACTTTTTAAGACAGAATATGTTGACAGATGTTGAATAACTTCGGAACATAAACATGAAGCGATCTATGATTACCATCACGTGAAACTGAACACTGTGCATGGTGTGGGTATGTAGATACAGATATACCAAGATAGAAGCCAACACCCATACCCACCCTCAGTTTCATAATTTTGATTCGATGGGAAAAGCCTAGAGAAATTTTGATCAATCTTGAAAATCAATCTATTTGACACAAATTCAGACAACATGATGTATTTAAAAACTAGCAATAAATTCCATAAATAATTATAAAAAAAAAAATTAACACGATGCAATAAAATAGTTTAAAAAGTAAAAAAAGGATGTTGTAAAATTTGCTGAGCAGTAGGGCGTCGAGCTGGATTTATTTGTAAACATTGTTTTATAATATCACGTACATGAGGATTATTGATAGATGGAATGATTGGAGTGTCTGTTAATCGAGCAATATGAGTCATTTTATCAAAATTATCATGAATATGTTCAAATGGCCGATAGCCAAAAATCATTTCAAAAAGAAGTACACCTACAATAAGAAAGAACAGAAAGCAGTTAAAATATTGCTGAGAGCGAGAGAGAGAGCAAACGAACCAAGTGCCCAAATATCTGATGCTCGACCTTGACGAGAATAATGACCATTTTCAATTTGACATACTTCTGGTGGCATATATTCAGGTGTACCTTAAATATATTATTGGGAATTAATAGAATAAAGAAAGTATAAATCTTTCCACCTGCAAATGGTCTTAATATTGATGATTGTGTATGTGACATACGAAAAGATAGACCTAAATCGATGACACGAATTTGTCCTTCAGGGGTCATAATGAAATTTTCCGGTTTGATATCTACAAAAGAGTCATTAGATATATTAGTAGTCAATCCTAAAACTGTTTTTTTCTTCAACCTGAATGAACAATTCCATTTCGATGAAGTTTCGCAACAGCGTCCACCATTTGTGACCAATAAAATTTTGCTTGTGCTATTGTCATTTGTTTTTCTTTCGGCGATGCTTGTAATGGTAACATAAACCGAAAATCATGTCCACTTTCCATAACAATTTTACCCGTTTGTGTTTTGCTATCATATTCATGATTATAAACTCGAATAACATATGGATTACGGGTTTGTAATTTTGTCAAATAACGTATCTCTTTAAAAAACATTTTCGAATGTTCATGACTATCAGCAGGATCCACATTTTTAACAACTTTTATTGCTACTGATTGATTTGTTCGTGGATCGTATGCTGCATAGACTCGACTATGAAGTCCTTCGCCAATTAAACGAATAACTATATATGGAACACCATTGACGTATAGGTTAGATAACTGTCGTTGTTGTGTTTGGATGGCTGGAATCGATGAAGATGTTCGTAAAGGATAATATGAAGTTGGTGCAGCAGGTAAAGCTAAAATAATTCTATTATTTAGAGTTTATTTAAATGATTGAATGTTCTTACTAGCATCACATGATGGTTTGTAGTTGGCTGGAAATGGACGAAAAGCATATGCGACTCTCATAATTTGATGGTAGGTTTCTCTCCGTTATATAATGATATACGAACGAAGAGTCATGTCTATGTATAATGAAATGTGCTTGTGTCCTTCTCGCTTCCCATGTCTTTCTTTCTATCGTACTTCTAAATGTAAAACGTTCACGATTTCCTTCCTTTTTTTTCCTTTTTTTTGTTCATACCTTCAATAATGTGTTAATTGGTCGAGCATGAACGATTTGTCTTACACCTCATCAAGTCAAGGTCAAGGCTAATTTTGTTCTTAACGAAATCGTGTCGTCACATGTCTGTTGGTACTATCAGTCCATCTGAATCCAAATACCGAGATTATCTTTGCCATTGTTCTTCATTCAAGCGATAAATCTACTGCCCATTATAGTTCAAATTGAACTTTAGTTAATTCATCATCGACTGCTTTTCTCTCGCACTCTCTATTGCATATTGACTTTACGTAAGAATATGAAAGGCAACGTAAAGCGTACGAATAAAAGCGTGTAGACATGCACATATATCACATCAAAATGATGTATGTATACATACATAAAAAATCACTACAGTTGCTTTTATTACGATAATAATATTTCAAACGCAATAGGAAAACCTCAATCTATAAGATGTATGGTTATTTTATTCTTGAATTTATTTTTTTATCAGAATGAAGAAGAAGCAGATAAAAGTACATAAAAATATCCCATTGAAAATAACGAAATGTTCAATTTTCTTTGTGTTAATTCGGATAACCGGATAGATTATTCTCTAAATAAGTATTTTTTTTTCAATTTAAAAAGGTTATTCAAGTTCGTTCGTTTAAACCATAATACGTGTTCCCGGTATATATCGTGTATCTTTCCATATATTTGAGTTACCATAATTGTTAATATTTCGTTGGCATTGAGCACAACGTTTATATTGATCACATTGTTCATGCACGAGGACACCTTGTGGCGCATAGACATGTGCTCGTTCATCGTCATCGCGTTTACGTTTCATATCAAGAGCACCTGACCAATCTGTTTCAAGATCTTTACGTATTGCATATGATCGACGGAATCGATCACGACGATCACTTATGAAGCTAAAAATAGATGATAAGAAATGTAGCGATGCGACACAAAAAACAAAACATATAGAAAATCTACTCGTCTTTCATTGCATCCAAAGCTCGTGATTCATATTCTTGTTCACGTATTTGTTTAAGTAATTGTTGTCGTTGTCGTTGTTCAACAACTTCTTTTTGTTGTCGGAAGACTTCCATTGCTTGTAAACGACGTTCTTGTAATTTATCTGTTGTCATATCATTCACACCAAAATAGGCTGTTGCTATTTCAACGGGCGGAATTCCATTTGGTTTGTTTCGAACCTATTTAGTTTTTTTAATATCGACAATAAAGAATCATAGAATTCGAACAAAGGAAAAAAGTCGTTTTACTTGATTATCTAAAGCACTTTTCATTTCTTCTTGATGAAGTCGTTTACTCCTCAAATATGCTTCACGTTCTTGTGCCAATCTGAAATAGAAAAAAAAAGGTTAGATTGGATTTTTTGATTTCACCGGTGAATTTTTTTCACGTACGCTTCCGCTAATTGTATTTGTTCTAAACGTTCAACAAAATTTTTATCTTGTTTTTCAGCATGGTCTTCATCATGTTTCCATTTGATTTGTGCTTCTAATTGTTTAGCTAAATCTTGTTGACGAACATATGTTGGAGGAGTTTGAACACGTTTTCGAAATACAAATGAACGCTGAAAATAAACATTCGAAGATTTTTCTCTCGTTTGAAATTCATTTTAGATACTGACTGGAACGTCACTTGTTTTTGGTCGTTCCATTTTTTTAACTCGTGTCGCTTCAGCGATACCCAAATTATACTAGAATAAAATAGAATTCATCTTCTTCTATCGAGGGTTAAATCTGTGATACCTACAGCAGCTATTCTTTGTTTCTCCTCTCGATCAGCTTTGAGAGCCATCTAAAAATACATTATAAAAAAAAGAATTTTGTGTTTTTTTCTGTTTCAACAATAAATCATTTATAGCATACTTCTCGTTTCTTATGTTCATCAAGATCACGATCATGTTGATATTGTTCGAGTAATTTTGCATCTTCAGCTTCACGAATACGTTTTTCATCATGTAAATAAATAGGTATATTACGTTTCGCACGTTGATGACATAGATAACAAAGTTCTTGACCAGCACCATGATGTCCACATGATGTTGTTGGTTTTGATGATGATGATGATGGAGAATTCATTGTTTGATATTGTTGAGGAAAAACATTCAATGATGATGATATACGATCACGTGCACTACGATCAGTGGCCGGACGTGTAAAACCTAATGCTGCACTTGTTTCATTCGTTGCTCGAAGAACTGTACCATTTGATTGATTACTGAAAATAGAAGATTTTAAAAAAAAATTTTGCATATAAGAAAATTAATTGAGCTAGCAGCGAGCTTCGTACTATCACCTGTTATCTATATTTTATTAATTGTTATGTACTTAAAAATTTATACCGATGAATATATGATTAGTCAAGTGCCTAAACTAATTATGAGTAACATAATTGATACTAAACAATGAATTTTCTTCACTTATAACAAACCTACTTGGAAATATATTCTATGGCTCAAATTGGCGTAAAAAGATTGGCTAACATCATCGATGAAAAAGATCAGTTTTTTGTGTATAAATATTTACTAGAATAACTTACGCCATTATTAGTTCTTTTTCTGCTTCAGGTTGACAACATGAAACTGTTCGTCGCATTGGAACAAGAGGCGCTGCTACTGTTTTTTTTGGTGTTGCAGGTGGTTGACCAAGATCCAGTGATGAAAAAAGTGATGCTATCGGAACGATACCATCTTGTGTGCTGGATAGTCCCACTGTTGTCACAACATTAGGTGATTGTTGTGTTGTCGTCGTAGGAACCGTTGGTTCTAGGAAAGAATTACGTACTTTAGAATAAGTCAATCGTCCAAAGCTTGATTGACAACGCCGAAATTTCTTTTTTAAAACATTATTCGTCATTATTAAACACAAGTGCAATCAAAAGAAAAATATTTCTTTTTCTCCTCTTTTTCTCTCTTCTTTTTTTTGGCTCGATCAGTAATAACATTTTCCGAACAATGGCAAAAAAAGGTAATACTTGTTCTTTTTTTTTCACTCAAACTTGTCTAGATGTCAAACCAACAAAAATTAATCTATTAGTGATTGTGGACAGAAACGAAGCGCACATACTCCGAAGTGCATGAAATTGTGTTTTTCAAGTGAATGTTCTACCTCTAGGTGTTTCAACAAGAGGTGGAAATCGTACATCAACACCTCGAGAACATGAACGACTGAAATCGTTCTTACATGAACTAGGATCTGTACCGAAGAGAGAAGGGATTCTTTGCATTCGCTATTCGATCTGTTTTTCTACCTCGTTGTTGTGTTCGTTTTACTGATGATGCAGCACAATGATTTTGTTGTTCATCATTATCACCATTATCTTCCTCTTGAATTGCGTGCATCGACGGATTACCAATTCGACTATTCAGTCTAGGAAAACAAAATCATGGAATAAAATTAGGGTGACAAAAACCGAAAGAAGAAATTTTCTACCGTGGAAGAACAACGTTTGAAGCTGTTGGAGGTCTTGCTGCTTCTCGTTCAGACATAACTGAATCACTAGTTTGTGGCCTCTGAATCATTCAAAACCTTTACTCTTATTTAGAAAACAAAAAAAGGAATCTTTCTTGTTTACATTACACGAATTATCAAACAGATATTTTCCCGCATTTCCTCCATTACCATCAACAGCATTGACGAAATCTTTGAAAAATCTCATTTTAACTTTTCCATCTCGGATCTGTAATTTTCCAATGCGTGAAAATGTAAATTCAACATTTCGCTGTGCTGCTACCGAACGATTAAATACTTGTAAAACATGTTTAACACATTGTTCAATTTGATCGCGTGTATATGATGATTGTGTTTGAATATAAAAATAATTTAATGGATGTACTGGTATTGAACCATTGACGGGATAATGTGTAAATTTTAATCCGTGTGTTTGGGCAAATTTCTCCGAAAAATCAAATATAGGTCGTTGAATTAGTATATATTTATTGTTTCCAATATCAATACGTTTATGTATAAAAGAAAATGTACCGAAACCTGGAATCGCAACACCCTAGTCAAAATAAAATAGCGAAATCGAATTCAAAATAAAGAAAAAAAACTGATTTTACTTTTGATTGCTTCATGTAATTTTCAATATAAGTTGATACGGCATCCCATATTTTAACAACATCTATGAAGTAAAAGAATAATATTTATATAAACAGTTCTCTGTAATATTATATCTTACTGTCTGTTTCATTAAATTTCTCTTTACTTAATTTTAAAACTTTTTCTGACATCATCATCCTTCTTGTTCGATACCTCTAATGATTTGCCTTCAACACTTTTTTCTTTTTTTTTCTTCTGGGTTATTTAATTCATTTTAGTTCCTTATGTTTTCTTTTTGTTAAACTGCAAGTGATTTGTTCTCTTATCAACCTCTTAACAAGAAATATGAGATTGCGATAAGTATATGTGAAGAGTTCTATCACGTAGGAGCGCGTCGCAAACTAATATGCGAACGAGTAAAATAAATAAACTATCTATATTTTTCATTCATATGTTGTTAAGAACATAAGGTCATGATAAAACTCAAATACGGATAAACAATCAACAGACTATGAAGAGAATGTTTTTCAATTTCTGCCAACACGTAGCAATATTATATAGAAATCGATGTTTTCTTACATTCCCAATAGGGAAATTTTTTTCGCCGAAACAAAAGCGCCATATGTTTACTACAAAAAACGCCTTGAGCATTCATGATCAGTCGAGAGGAATCATATTTCTTTTTCATGTTCTCAAAACGTGACTTTTAAACAAATAAAAGTCAAAGTAGATCCAATATTAAATTATTAAGCACTGCATCTCGATATTTTCCTTAAGACGACATTTGCATTCTTTTTTATTAGTTTGTTCTGGTTCAATGAAGCAGAATCGTAAATAGAATGAAATATTTATTACTTTCATCAATAAAAGAAATAAGCAGATCGATTTAATCATTCAACCACGAAGTGTTTAGATTTCAATAAAATAATTAATATTTTACTGTGCGTTGCCATTGGCTTGTTTCAGAAGATCTTTTCTTTTTGTTTTTCGAGATGTAGAAAAGAACGCAAGAAAAAATATTATTCGCTAACTAGTATAATTATTGTAGGAATCATATAGAAACGATCCTTTCGTTGGAGTAGATTTTTCTTCTTCTTTACGCTCACAAACAAAAACAATGCTTGACAACAAAAGCAATAAAATTCGATCTAAATACTCAACATGCATTAATAAGAACAATATGGCCATATATCAAGTCATTTTTTTTCAATCTTCTGTTCTCTTTAACAAAAAGAAAAAGAAAGAAGTCGTTCGTTCGAGATCTAATTTTCTTTTGATTTGATTTATTGATTCTTTATTGAAAGAAAATTTCGACATTGATTTAATGAGGTTTAAGTCAATAGGTGTCTATTTTAAAAATTGATATTCGATGACTTCGTTTTCGATATTAAAAATTTTCTCCATGATTTTCACGTATCGAAAACTAGATCTCTATCTTCAGCAATCAAATAAATGTTGTTTAACAAGAATAAATTTATTCTTTTTATGGCTTTGTCTAAACCAAATCAGATGCTGGTTGCTAAGAGAAGCATATGAATTTTTTTTGTTCTAATAAATAGAAATCAATAAATAATTCATTCCAGTGAAAACCAGGCATTTGTACGTGGCACACTTATTGACTGCATAAGAATACATGATTAATCAGATCGTATAAGCGAGAGAAAAATAACCTGTTTTGACAATATCCAACAAATATTATTTGACTTTATTATTTTCCTTCTTTCTTATCATAGTCATAAACAGAGAAAAAATCCAAACTTTAAGAACCTATATCTTACCATCATCGGTTAAATTGACAATTGATGCTGCCGTTTGTTGTTGTGGTTGCTTATTCCTATCAAGATTTTTGGATAACTTATTAATATTGTCAATCATATTGTTAATTTCTAGAAATAAGCAGGTTATGCAAGTTACAGTCACAATAAAAAAAAGTGTGAGTGCACGAATACTATTTCTATTTCTTTTCTTTCGATCACAATTCTTCAAGATGATGTTTGTTTTGCAAATTAATTTTCCTCTGTATATTCTCCTTGCATTTCTTGCTTTCATTTACATCCACATGTCTGTAATGTTGCTAAGCTTCAAACGACTACGGATATGTTTTTACCATTAATAATAGATGTCGCTCGCTAAATTTATGCTACCATCTATAAGCTGATTCCTTTTTCTTCTTCTTCTTCTTCTTCATGATCATCATAATAATAAAAACAAAAATCTTTCAATGGTCATTTTGATACATTCATCAGTCGTTCGGTGTTTAAACGTTCGTCGTTAATTTAGAAAAAAATAGCAAAATAACATGATTTTTATTTCTTTTTTCAGACTATATGATGTCACCACTTTTGTTTCGTACTTTTATTAGTTAAGAATGGACGAAAGTGAGACAATAAATCATATTAATTCAAAACAACATGCAAATCATTTATCTGGTCCTGCAATACAAGCATCAACTACATCGATTATTCCAAGTGAGATACGTAAAATCGGACCTGGTGGAGCAGGTCTAGCAGTAGGTGTTAACGATAATCTGATGGCAAAAGATCAATCGAATGAAACAGCAACAACATCGACATCGGCTGCTATTACGAATAGTTCAGGAGCCAATGCTATGCTTATGGTTGGACCCAATTTTCGTGTTGGAAAACGAATAGGAGCAGGAAATTTTGGAGAAATTCGATTAGGTTAAACGAATTGATTATTGTTGTGATTATTTTTTAACATAAAATAATGTTTTTTCTTTGTTTCAGGAAAAAATTTGTATAATAATGAACATGTAGCAATTAAACTAGTAAAAACAAACTTTCTATTTCTTCTTTTTTTTTCAATTCTATTTTAAAGGAACCGATGAAATCTCGTGCACCACAACTTCACCTTGAATATCGTTTTTATCGACAACTTGGCACGTGTGGTTAGTTAGCAGATAAAAAAAGGCATATTTTATTGCATGATTCGTATTTTTATTGGTAGAGGGTGTTCCACTAGTACATTATTTTGGACCCTGTGGCAAATATAATGCACTAGTAGTGGAATTACTTGGTCCATCACTCGAAGATCTCTTTGATAATTGCGATCGAAAATTTTCACTGAAAACCGTCCTTATGCTTGCTGTACAATTGGTAGGATACAAAAAAAACTCACATTTTCATACATATTTGTTTTTCTTAAATTTATAGATAACTCGTATGGAATATGTTCATTCAAAAAATCTTATTTACCGAGAGTAAATATAATTGCAAATTAAAAATGAATATTTGAAAAAGAGAACATTTTTTTCATTTCCAGTGTTAAACCCGAGAATTTTCTTATTGGACGTTCGTCTACGAAAAAACAGCATCTTATTCATATTATTGATTTTGGCTTAGCCAAAGAATATATTGATCCAGATACTGGTCGACATATACCATTCCGAGAACATAAAAGTTTAACTGGTTTGTTTAATTTTTGACAGAAGACAACAGTAAAGAACATCCTTTTATTAGGTACAGCAAGATATATGAGTATTAATACTCATCTTGGAAAAGGTGAGACTTTTTAATCTTTATAGATTATCATTAAAAATTTTTGGATTTAGAGCAAAGTCGTCGAGATGATCTTGAAGCGTTGGGGCATATGTTTATGTATTTTTTACGTGGCAGTCTACCGGTAGGAAAAATTCTCGACAATCAATCTTGTCTTTCACAGAAGAAATTCCATATTAATCTTTTGACAACTTGCTTTATTTTTCATGGTTTGCTGTATGTCTCATAACGACATTGTAAAAGCGTATTTGTTGAGAACATGTGATATAATACTATAGATAAGAAATCTGAGTAGAAGTATAACTTCGCTTAAAATTGGTCATAGATTTCAAATTGAATGTCATGCTTTTCTAATATTTATATCTCGATGATTTACATACTTCATGTGTTTATCTTGTTAGACTAGAAGTACTCATAATTGTGTACTATTGATTTCGACGGGAAAATACATTAGACTTCACTTGATTCTAAAAGATAATACATAAGAAATATGAGCTCGTGGGGTTGCGCTGAATGACATTGTAATAAACTAAGAATGTTTATTTTTAGTGGCAAGGCTTAAAAGCAGAAACATTAAAAGAACGTTATCAAAAAATTGGTGATACTAAACGTGCAACTCATATTGATGTTCTATGTCAAAATCATCCTGGTGAGAGGAAAAATAAATTATGAAATTTATTTTCTAGAAATAAATTTATTTTTTAGAAGAATTTAGTAAATATTTAAAATATGTTCGAAACTTAGATTTTTTTGAAACTCCAAATGTAAGTTTTGATAAAAAAATGAAAATAACAACTTTTTTCCTGTAAATTCGATTTAGTATGAATATTTAAGAAAGTTATTCAAAGATTTAATGGATGCACGTAATTATGTATGTGATTATAATTTTGATTGGGTTGAAAAAGTACAACCGTATGCAAATAGAGTATGTAGTGTCCATAGTTCCATTTTAGTAATAAAAACTCGTTTTTATCATCTTAGCTGACTGATGGAAAATCACAATATCAATCAACAAATCAACATAATAATGCAACCAGTCCGATGACACGAGCAGCGAATAAAGTAAGTAAAAAGGATTGTAACAAAAAAAAAGATTATGTTCAATCAATAAAAATACGATAACATAAAATAAAAAGAGAATTTTCTCCCTCCCTCTCAGACGAACTTTCTAAATGCTCATCTTTCACAATCAACCCAACAAGTACACGGTTCAATGCAGGTATATACAACGAGATCTCGTTTTCTGTCAACCCGTTATTTATTGTTCTCTTAACCGCCTCCCAAACTTTTCTTTTTATTGTCTGCAGAAATGAATCAATTTCCTTTGATCGTTGTCAATGGCTATTGCTTGTTCTACTTTTTCTTTATATAATTTTAATTCAAAAACGAATCAATCCTAATATTCTTTTGTTTTCCTCATAGCCGATTGATATTCTTAACGATTACAATGAACAAACCTGTCGAGATCGAGAAAATGCACATATTGTCGCTTCATCTTTGCCAAATCCTGAAGTTATTAGTGATACAAAGTAAGTACAACAAAAAAGAATAATTTATTACGCTATTTCATATTTCTCTTGAGACTTGATTTGGTGAAGGGATTTCATTGCATAGAAGAATCACAAATTTATATCTATATATTTATTCTAGGGGTAAAAATGTTGATGGAAAATTCTTTCTGAATGACGAAAAATCGACTAGTAAAATGTAAGATTTAGACATAGATAATAAAAATAGTAAAAAAAAAACAAGATTGTTAGCCTATGAAATAATTTAACAACAAATAAAAAGAACGAAAATTGATTCTTTATAGATACTGATAAAAAATGGCTTGCATTATTTATGTAGGTTCGATTGAATAAAAACGTATATAGGTTAAAAAGAGTATAAACATTCAGCTGCTAAGAATTGCATTTTCTATGTAGAAGTAAATATGAAGATTTTGCATTTTCTTTCTGCTTCCTCTTCTGTAGGTGTTGTTGTTTTTTTAATCGCCGCACGAGACATACAACGAATAAACAATCAAGAAAATAGTTTCATCAAATGGCATGATTTGCACAAGAACAGTTGTGGCTCGTAAGATAAAATTTCAAATCATAAGATAAAATTTTAATCTTTTATTTGACTAGTGTGTTGTCGATTGGATTCTGTTTCCTTTTCGTACAGTGAATTTCAACGTAGGACAAAACAAAAAAAAACTGCATACAATCACTGTTTTTCCTTATTATTTTTTTTTCTTCTTTTGTCAATTGGCGCTGTGGATAATAAAAATTCGTCATTTCTAACTTTTCTCTTTAATTTTGTTTGTTGTTATTGAGTATGTATCATTGTACTTGAATTTTTTCATTTTTTCTTGTCTTCTGTATCAACCTGCCCACTGTTAAAAATTTTTTCGCTTTTCCCTTTTTTCCTCTTTCTTTTTTCTGCTAGTGTCTGTGCTTGAGTGTGCTTTTTTTTAAAGCGGAAAACAAAAGAAAGATGAATTATTTTTTATTTCTATCGAATATAATATATATATATATATATATATATATATAACGAAAGTTAATATCATACCTATACTATATAGCTTTCATGGTACTATTTAAGAAGTGATTGTGCATGATCTGTGTGTATTGCAGTTTTTTTTGTATTTATTCGTGATACAGATACACGTTTCTTTTTCTTTTTCTTTTTCATTACGATTATTATTTTATATGTTTCCAATTCCAACCTTTTCACTTGAATGATTCTAGTAGGAATAATTGAAGAGTTGAAATTCGCGAAGGTGATTTCCCTTCAGGGAATATTTAGCAGTAGTGCTGAAAGTGTCGAGTTATTTTGTCCTTTGAAAATAGTTGTCTTGGACATAGCTTGATACTTGGATTATGAGAGAAACAGCATTAAATTGAATATTTAATTCTTCATTCCGAAGGTTACTGGGTTATTATATGAACTTAAAGAGAAAGACGACAAACCCTGTCTTACTTGAAAGTCATCTAGCAACTACTCATTAACATTCAATCTAAATTCAAATGAGATCTATCTTAAGAAATATGATGCAAAGTCACGAATCCACTTCATTCAAGTCAGAAATCGACAGACGTGGATGAGTTGCTGTTTTTGATGATATACAAAAAATATTAGTCGAATATTAATTATCGTAAGAACGCAATCCGCAGGAGATTATTTAAGTATAAAAGTTTCTTTTTGTTTTCTTTAATAGCTTACCGTTTAGGTCTATCTCAAAATTCTTCTGTTGACGAAATATGAAATTAAAGTAGGATATGCCATTGTAATCAATGTAGGAATAAATATTTTTTTAAACGATTCCGATGAAGAAATCCGAAAATAACATTGCTGACATAGAAAATGCGCTGCAGAGTCCTGGAAACCTTTTGTTCGGACAAAAATAAACATTCCAGCCGTAATCAGTGCAAATAATTGAGTTAGACGACGTATAGCAGAATTGATCTGTGCTTCCCTCAGTTCCCCGTTTTCTTCTTCTTTTCTTTTTATTATTATCATTAAAAGTCTTCTCTTGGAGGAGTACTACAAAAATATTTTCTTAAAAAATTATTTGTGCCCCTCTAGATATATATCAATGAATTAAATTTTTATGCCGACTATAAATATGATATTTATACACTTTCGAACGAGAGATTTCCGGTACTTAACAGCACATTTTGCTAGTGTCAATAATGTTATCATGGCATTTTTTATTATGAATCTTTTGAAAATAGTGCATACATACATTTATGATTCATCGAATACTGAGTCAAATGACATATTCTATTTGATTTGTTACTTTATCGAAAAACAAAACTGTTTACATGTATATCAAAGACGAAATCAAATCGAAGAAAAATGAATCATCTTGTGAAGTTCAAAGAAAAAGTCCTTGAAATAATGCTATAGGCAGACAAAGATTATTGCTTTATAGTCTATTTTTGATAACGTCGCAAAAACGAAAGTCAATTCTTGTTTTGATATTTAACTAAAACGATAAGAATTGAAACATTTTTCATTTAATATTTAGAAAAAAACTGAAAATGCTGTCATGGTGATGATGAGATTTAATAAATGATATTATGAGATTTAAAAACAAACTCGTTCACCTACGGATTCAAACACGTGCTTTTATATTGAAAGTAAAAGAACACAAATTGCTTAAAGAAATTTTAATTAAAGATAAATGTTTATAGTTCTGGTTTGACTTCATGTCTCAAAATGTAAAATAAAATTAATAATTTTAAAAATTATGAACCAATCCTATAAGAAATTTTTATTAAAAGACGACAAAAAAGTCTTAAAAAAAGGAAAATAAAATGCATTCACTTGTGTATGTCGTTCACAACAATGGTTTGTGTTTAAATTTTCCATAAGATGTGCACTTATCGAAAGGCAACTATTTTCCATATTGCATAGAGCTATGTAATTGATGCAACTGAATTTGCACTAGGACATTTTATAAATTAATGCTTGAACTTGCTTTTTGGGCAATCACTTGATGCTACACATTCTTGATTTAATTAATTTGGGTGAAAAATCATCGTAACATCATCGTTCTTGCAAACAGTGATCCAACAAAAATATTTGGTTAATTTTCTATGTATTGTGATTATGCATTTGCATCGGTATTGGATGTTCGTCGAAGTATATATTTATTAATAAAACGACGAATAAAATAGAATGGGCCTGAACGAGATTCAGATTGATCATTATCTTCTTCATCTTGTATGCGTCGACCCGTTCGAAGACTGCGTTCTAATGATTTTAAATAAGCTTTTTTATCTCGACCATTTGATTGTGTGGAACTGTCTTGAGTTAAATTAGCTGATTCAACGACGACCTCGCAACTTTTTACACTCAGGTCATCGTCATTGTCATTCGGTGTTGCATTCGAGTCAGTCTCGTCATATATTCTATTTGGTTCTCCATGTAATTTACTAGAAAATAATCATAACAATAAAAATATCTTAACCAATATATACGTACGTAATAATTACTTACGGAAAAAATTTCGGCTGGAAAGCACAGACAAAAATAAATAGACAAATCCCACAAATTGTTACTGCAGTAATAGTAACAAGTATCAATGCAAAAAGATCCATGTGATCCTGTTCTTGTCTTTACTAAGGAAGAAGAAGATGAATGTCAACCAAAGATATTCCACATCAGTATCATCATTATTATCAGGCCGTTGCCATCGTCCATGTCTTATCAAATGTCACTCAGAATAGATGGATTAGAAGAAACAGAACAAGAAAAACAAGAAAATCAAGAGAATATCAATTCATGCTCTAGATGGATGGATATAGATAAAAATTACACAAAGACGTCGCCGAGAAAGGTCGAGAACAAGAATAGATTAAAAAAGTCACAGCGGGTGAACATCAAAGTAAATCAAGAACGACCGACTGCTAGCAATAGGAATGCAGTCATGCTACTCTTTTTTCTTGACATACAAAGAAATGATTTTCTATTACTATTATTACTAGATCGGTGGACATGTATTCTTGTTGTGTTCTTTTTTTTTTTGTTCTCTTGATTACGTTCCGTTAGTAGATCGACCGATTGATCGATCGAAAGTTGGTGCTAAGTGTAAAGAAGAAAAGCAGAAGAAGAAAAAATAAGAAAATCTACAATTAAAACGACTATAATATGTCTGAACACTTGCGTTATTTAGTAGGCAAGTCAATAGTAGTGATGAATGACAGAAGAAGGAAAAAAAGAGAAAAGTCTACAGTAAACGCTAAAGATGCAGACTTGATGAAAAGAAAAGAAATCTATTAGTATTAATGGATGTTGACATGGAAAAGTTTTTCTTATGTTCTGTAGTTCTCATTTGCACTCATATATATATATATATATATATATAAACACGCGTGAATATGTGCGCGCCTGATAAATATTCTTCCTGACACGATACAATCGTGCCGACATGCTTAAGAGAATAGATGTTGATTGAATATATGACAAATATTATTGCGTGATAATTGATCAAGCATGAAGAATTTCAAGTGAGACAGAAGCTAACAGCTAATCAACAATCCTATGAAAATCTACTAAGTAAAACTCAACATGATGTCTGTTAACTAGCTATGGATTTATTATCAATTAGGTTTTTATTAAACATATGTTATCCATTGCTTACATCAAGATTACATGGAAAAAGACAATTTCTTTTATTCGACTAACAAATAAGATTTACTAGTTCAAGTATTTACTAGGAAACGCATTGATGTATTCATTCACTTACCTTGTCTTTTTGCAGAATATACCTTTTCTATTGACTTTCGATAAAATCACTTTATCATTGTAATGTTGCTATTCTAAGTACATTTGTAACATGCATTTGACAATAGAGCAAATGCGCAACATGTGTTGACTTTCAATACTTAGTGTTGGGCTTGATGTATTCTTTCTTTTTCTCTCTCTGCAAAATGCACTTTCTCTCCGGAGATGAATCATTGTTTCGTTGTATCATTCGTCAACAATCTTTTTACGTCCACTTTTATATCGTTTACAAATTACTTGACATGTGCATATAGTTTTAAGTAAATAAATAAAAGGCCGGATAATAAAACGCAGATTAAGGCAATCTATTGCTGCAAGCGAAGTATACACTAGAAAATAAAAAAGCAAAAGATCTATCGTACTGATCGGTAAATTAAGAAAATGAAAGTTTAACCAGGAATAATTAAAATACTGCCTATCTGTGCTGTTCGGAGGCTATGGAAGCTGGAGGTGTAGCGGATGAAAAGCCCCGCGAAAATCAAAATTTTTCAGTTTTTCCCAATGAAAATATCAGAATACTTTTCTGCAAGTACACCCCGCTGCTCCCTCAAAGAAAATAATATCGAATAGAAATTAAAATGCACGCGCAATTTGAACTTGTGGCGTACTCTTTTCCATAGTCTAAATTTACATAACGCATTCAACAACCATTATCTGATATAAAGCGCCTAATAATACCAATGTTGGAAAATATATATTATATTCTCGAGAAGTATTACATTATGACTAGAATCAGCAAGATATTCAATAGATCTATTTCTTCATAAAAAAAATTATTTTGATATGAATTACAAAGTATTTGGTTTCTTTGCTACATAAAACATCAAAAATTCGAAATTTTCACATATTCTTTTTGCGACATATGTGACTGTTTATAAACGAAACTTGGTGAAAAGGCCAACTTTTATGTTTTTGTTCGAAACCGCTTTTTTTGCAACACATCTAAATTTCTTTTTCTTTGATTCCTCTTATAAAATTATGTTTAAAAAAAATCTTCATTTTGAAGCGAAGTTTTTCAATGCTCCACTCCCTTCTGTTTATACATTCGATTAAATGATGCTCGGGTACCTGAAGCAATTATTAAAAATGCAATGTATCGTATGATACTAGATTTCTAACATTAATATTTTAATTTGTCACTGTCATCAGTAAAAAATATTTGCTACTAAAATGTAGTTAGCAATAAAGTTTTGAATACGTCAAATTGCTTTTCTTGTCTCAGCCAAGTTTAATATTTTTAGTTAATAGAAGATAATAGGATTAGCACCTATTAATTATTAGACAAAATAAAAATACAAAAATGTTTATCAAGTTTTAGCAAACAATTGAGTTCTGTAGTCGAGACCAAAATTTTAATATTCGACTAAACACAAACAGATCGTTCCATATGGTATAAATGAAATAATCCGTAGAATGTCGGCATAGCAAAGTGCATCGACATTCTGTCTTCAAAGAGTAGCCTTCGGTATGGCTAATATTGCTCACTTACATTACTTTTCTCTCTTTCAATAATCGTACCGCCAACTGATCAATAATGATTAGCTCCAGATGATATGATTGTTGATATGCTGCTACTTTGCTCTATCGATAGAGATTGATATACATACATGTTTGACATGGTCAAAGCGATTGATATTTATCGTCTATTATCTTATTCACACTAAATGGCTTGCATCATTTTCTCTCTCTTTCTTTCTCTGTTAATCGAACTTTCTTTGAGATAGTTGGCATCAATTCATAGCTATCTTGATCAATTCAAGTCAATCATAAACAAACCTCCTATCTATATGATGAGTTAAATGAGAGTGGATAAAGAAACACAACAAAAAAAGAAGAATACGAATAGATTCATCATTCTAAAAAAGAAACCATCCATTCGTCATATCAATTGATCGTATACATTTCAAGATTCTTTGCATATTTACTAATGGATCTTGCACAGTTGGAATTCCATTTTTCTTTTTATTATTCATTAAAGAAACACAACAGTATCTTTCATTTATTTATTTATTTACTTATATAAAAGTAAACAATTAGAACAAGTAAGAATTAAATTCCTTCTTCTTCTTTTCTAAGTTATTAATATCTATCTTACAACAAGTATCTATCGAGAACAAGAAGAAAGAACAGAAAAAGACTATATCGATTAATTGAAAGTCATTATGTAATTTTCATTGAACAGCCACTAGACTAATTGTTAAGATTTTCTCAAAAAAAAATCTTAAATTATATCGCACATGTAAATATAAAGACCAAGAAAATTTAATGGATTACAACTGATTTAGTTTGGTCTCTTGATGATTTTTTTATTATTCATCACTTGTCATTATCATTTTATAGTTTTGTTTTTTCAAATAGAAAAATCTACAAATTAGTTATTCTTATGATATATTTGCTTGTCATTTTGGCTGTATGATCGTTTTAAGAATTACTTGTGCTATAATAGAATACGAGGATGAAGAAAAAAAAATAATAAGTAAGAAGTGTGATCCATTGGACCCGTATGAAAATTAGAATTAGATATCTTTTTCTTTTTAGTTTTTTTTTTGTTCCCTATGTCGTTGATCTGTGTGTCTGTCTGTCTGTCTGTCATTCGATGATGACAACGTCGTAGAGTGCCAGAGCGGAACCTATTTAATGTCCCTAATTGCTGCTCGAGTAACAACTCTTTCATACTTCCTCTCAAATTGATTGTGCCTTGTGAGTTAAAAAAAAGAGTGAGAGAGAAGGGGAGAAAAATAACATCGACATAGTAGTGATGTTGATGATCTTAAAGATAGTAATATTAAAGAATAAATAAGTGAAAGAAAATTTCCCGCTCTAAATACCTGCGTATATGTTCCATAGACATAAATTGACAAACAGTTAAGTGCAAACAACTTTTAAAAAAGTAATAAAACTAGATTTAAATAATCTTAATATTTTTCTTTTTTCTATATTCAACCTCATTATCCTAATGGCTTTTTCTTTTATTAAGTCAAATAACAACATTTTGTTTGATAGATGATTATATATCTATAAACATACGACAAATGAATATAGTGTAGTATCAATTATCATTAGTAAAGCATTCTCCTCTTCTTTTCTTTTTTTGTATCTTTATCGATATATGTATATTACTTCGCATGAATGATAATTTGAAATGATCATCATTATCATCATCCGACTCTCAATTAGTCGTTGTTATATAGGAAAGCGCAGTAGCCATTAAGCTTCTCTAGCTTTCCGCTTGATGCTCGTTGAAAATAAACGGAGCATTATCATCATTTTTCTCTTCTCTTGTACACCTGACAATTGTAATTCGACGCGCGTGAGTTTAGCAGTCAGAATAGGAAAAGATGATGAGAGATGATGGTGACGGTGATTCCCTTTCTGATGCTACTACTCACTACTCACACATGACTGAATTTGACGGTAAAAAGGATGCAGCGGAAGAAATCAAGCTAAATGAGAAGAGAGATTTTTTTTGACAGAGACCTACATGCACACACATTTATATATTTATTTAAAGAGCAGTAAATTTTTACAATAAGAGACAGGTATACTAATTGCTCGTTAATCGATTGGTTCGTCAATATATTGAATAGATTAACCAATCATAGAAAGAACCGTCAGGCATCAAATGGCGATTTCCTTCATCTCTTTTTTCCCCCTTCTCTATCTCTCCCTCGTTCTCTCCTGATATTCCTTGAGGCTATCTTATCTTTATATACACATTCGATAATTTGTTAATCGTCTAAGTAAAAGCCAACGCGTTTGCATAAAGTGCCCATCGCTTAATATGATTAGTTGATATTCTATATATTCGTCATCTTCAGATTTTCTTACGCATTTATTTCTCAATCATGTCAACAATGCCAATGTCTGCAAATGATCTTTATCAACGTTATTCATCATCATGGCCATTTTCATCTTTAAATATGACATCAAATCGTCATATCTATCACCATAATGAAAAGTATCGTTCATCAACAAATACTCGTATAACACGTTTTTATATTGATGATATTCTTGCTGATTCCAAAACATCATCAACAAATGATCTATGTTCACGTTCAACAAAGAATCATAAAGGTTCGTTATTGTTTGATTTTCAAAATGTAAGTTTTTTTTCTTTCTAGAACGTTGTCGATCTGTTTCGAACAGTGATGATGGTGGTGATTTATTAATAAATTCTCAAAAGAAAAAAAAGAAAAAAGCACGAACTACTTTTACGGGTAAACAAATATTTGAACTTGAAAAAAAATTCGAAGATAAAAAATATTTATCATCAACTGAACGTGCTGAAATGGCTACTTTACTAACTGTTACTGAAACACAAGTTAAAATTTGGTATGTAGGATTATACTTATAGAAAAAAAAACAACAGGAGCTATAATATATTAGTAACACTTATCATGTTTCTTTATTAATGAATTACCTGTCGGAAGAAAAAAACTATAAACGAGACTAGAATGACACAACGATGTTAGTTGCTCATTTGGTAAAGAAACATTGATTAAATATTGTATTAAGAATTAGTATATTTCTAATAAGTTTTATTTTTCTGTATCTCCTATTGAATAGAATTAATTATGAATAATACTTAGAATAAATAATTAATTTGATATGGTGCCTTGAAAAAAAAAGATGTTTGTTTTTGAAGAATCATTAATTTTTAGATAAATAGGTTTTTTTCTTTTCTTTTGATATATGAAATAATAAAATGTCTCAAAAAGTCGGCATGTATAATAAAAAGTGATTAAAGTAATAGAGACAGGAATCAAGTAGAACAAGTTAACCTTTTATCTTTGCTTAAAACTAAAATTACATAGTCGAGTACTTCTTATTCTTCTTTTTTTTCTTCTACATTTATTTTCAATGGTTCTGCTAATTTTAAAAGTCATTATGCATTTCGAACTATTCTATACTTAGGTTTCAAAACCGCCGTACAAAATGGAAAAAAACTGAAAATATTTCAAATGCTGAAGCTGCTGAACATAAATTAAGTACAAGAAAAATGTCATCAACATCGTCATCATCATTGGATCAAAATCGAAATCAACCTGCTCAATTGCCAGTCGGTGGTAGTACGAGTAGCAAGAGTAGTAGCTGCAGTTCGGCTAGCTCACATCGATCCGATAAACGAGTTTATAGTGCCCCATCAATCCCGCCAGTTCCACTCCCATCTCCACTTCCATTACTTTATTTTAATCCATTTTCACATTTACTTCAATCATCATGTTCATCAAATCACGACAAATTACATTCGCCAACATTCGACCCACAATCTTGTTCGGATTCGACGTCAACTCAATCACCATTGCCAGTACCTGAAAATAATCATTGTTCACCGTCAAGTAGTTCGACACCAGTAAACGAGACGAATGAAGATCATACGTCAGATGAAAATACAATACCACAGTGTTTAATTAAACAACGATCATGTTCGAGATGAACAAAAAAATTTAAAAAAACTTGCAAAAAAAATACATTCAGTTCTTTTTAGTGTGTTTCTCTGCTTCCTTGTTTTCTTTCTCTCGTCTTCTTTAATTAATAATAAATATCAATATGTTCTTTTACAAATTATTTTATATCGAGATCATTATCAACAATTTAAAATGGCAAAGTTGTTTGATAATTTTGATTTACGTCTATAGTTCAAAACAGCTTGAGGAGACCTGCGTTTTAGATTACAGATCTTATCCTATGAACAATTTACTTTCACTCTTTAGAATAGTACAAGAAAAGAAAGGTATGTACTTAAGGAAATAGTGAGAAAAACAATAGGGAGTAATTGAGTATCGTATTAGAGGTGAAGCATGATTTTTATAAAAAAAATTATAAATGTGTGTAAATCATCAGTAGAAAACGGAAGAACAAAGAATCCCGGAACAACATCCGTATTCTTATACTATAATTTTCTATATATATATATATACGTATAACATAGAAATAAAACTATATTGGCAGATAAAAGAAGAAAAAAAATCTTCAAACGAAAATCTATGTTAACATCATAGAAACAACGGATTTTATATGCAATTTGGAAACTTTTTAAGAAGTCTGAACACGATGAATAAGATATTTCGAATGTTGAACAATTTGATAATAGATAATATAGCGATTCGTGCTTATATTTATCAAGCTCGACTGACAAAATAAACTATTTTATATGTAAGTTTACTCGGGAGACTATTAAATGCTACATGATTGTGTGATTATAATCATGCTTCGTCAAAAAGTGTTAATCACGTTTTTGAAGCATTTTTAAACCATGAACATTTCTCTTTGATGTTTTTTCTTCTTCAAATGCCAATAATCTGAAATGTTTAACCTTTGTTAGGTAATCTATTGCTGGTATTATATTTAAATAACATCGTCATCATTAAGCAAAGTTTTTTTTCCGCCGTAGAAATTTCAGATCGGAATGAGTACTGTTCAAGTGAGCTCATAAAAGTGTTCTATTTTGTTTCCATAAGTCAAGGTGCAAACAAAATGCCGAATATTTAAATATCAATGTTCATTTTTCTGTACGATATGGTAACATGATAATGCATACTTATGAAAGTAAACGACACGCTAACATTTTTCTAGTGTCGCAGCAGCTAGTAAATGTATTGTAAAAATCCTTGGAAAAGAGCATTCTCTAGAGAATTATATCGACCATGAATAGAATAATAATAATATCAAATACTATAAATGATCACGAGTTAAACAACCAAGAACGCATAATGAAGAGAAAAAAAGACTATGCCAATAAACGAGGAGTCTAGTGATATTATTGTCGTTTGAAAAAGAAATTTTCTATTAAATTTCGCGTACATTAAGATCAACTATCGTGCTTCTTCTACAAATTCTCATACAGATTTGGATAGATAATTTTAAAATGCAATAGGTGCAATGAATGCAAGGGCGGAACATACTGTTTCTAATATTGTCATACGTATTAATTCAAATAATGACTCAACTATGAGACACTTTTTCCTTGATTCAAGAACAACAATGACCGGTGTTTGTCTACATGTGACTTTTTATTATGTTCAAGATAGAAGTTAAATGATGAAAGTATTTTTTTGTTCTTGATCGGCGGTCTTCCTGGCGTGTCATTCACGCTCAGAGCATGAATATATTAAAAAAAATTTCCTTCCTTAATAGTTTCTCTACAGCCATAGCTGGAAAGATGGATGTATAAAGTTACGAAGATTTGCCGATTAACTACAAGATCGAGAGAATCGATCTGTCTATAGGCTTAACTCTTTACCCTAAAACAGCCTGAAACAATATCATATGTCGAACATGCTTGCGTATTTTGTTTGCAAACAGTACTATCAATTAAATCAATCGGATATACTGAAATATCTTCACAAAAGCTTCGACTTGAATGATTCGTTTTACGCAATTATATTTTTTGTCTGATCACAACCTTGATAGAAAATTTTATGGAATAACTGATTGAAGCAACCGTAATGCTCAACGAAAGAGAATTCCGATGCTTTGCTTAGTTTCCTCAAGCCTCCTAGCTTACGTTAGATTTTGTTTTTTCTTTCGCTCTCTTTATCGCTCATTTTTTTAAAAACATTTACTTAACACAATGTTCTTGAGAAGCGTAACGGCCGAAGCTCAATAGTAAAAGATTTCTCAAGAAAAAAATGAAGAGGACACATGCCAACAAGAATCACTTCTAACTTGTTCACGCATCGATACAAATTATGTATTGAGTCGAAAGAAAGTAGAAACTAGGAAGAATAACATAACGAATGTTCAATTGAAACAAAATACTATTGACGAGCTCGTCTTTTCCCAATGATGAAACTGAAGATTGGGTAATATTATAGCTTCAATACTAGTCGTATAATATCAAATAGGCAAGATCGTAAAAACTAAATTTGATCTTTGAAGAGGAGAAGAAAATTTTATGTTTTATTGAATGCATGCAGATCATGTGTTACTACGTAACATAGAATTTGAAAGAATAAATATAGTGATTATCTACACGTCTTTATCGACCTAATGACCTTGAAATATTTCATTCAATAAATACTTCATGGATTAGACTAACTCTTCTCTTTTCGATACAAATTCTAGTTAATCAAGTTCTTTATCTTAATAATGGCTCGATAGGAACAAATAGCAATCTTTTCGTAACGCAATGAATTTCAAGTTTCAAATAAAATAAAAAACATTTCGTTGTTCTTCAGAACTTTATTTAGTAACTATATAAAATCATCGTTCATGAAATCGATCATAGATAAAAGTTGAGACTTCTGTTTGCATGAATGTGAGTATCAACAATCGTCTTATTTAAGTTTTCCGATTCCTATGATCGTTATTTTTTTCATCTGAAGTGACTCGATGTTTTCGCTAGTTACTAGTGGTGATTTAGTCAGTGCATTGACTTTTTTTCTATTGGAAGTGACGTGTTGACAACATGTTTACAACGATAGTTGTTCTATTTACTATAAATGCATATACATTATCACAATTATATTTAAATATCTTTCTTTCAACACCTACCACTCATTAGATCACTTAATGGTAAAATGGGTTTCTTCTATGTCTCACTCTGTGAATGTTTTAGAGATAGCAGAGAAATATCATATAAAGCTTGACGTAACTGTTCCGGATAATAAAATTTTTCAATTGACTATTTTGACGACTGTGTGATATTGACAAGTATTTTTAATGCGGTGCGAAGCAGAAGCATTTATGTAGCCTGTCGCGTTTTTTTTTTTTTACTTGACGTACGCATCACAAGTCGTCGTTTTGTATCGCAATGATCTCGAGAACCATAAATCATAGAAAATTCGTTGAAACGTGAGATCGAACTGCTCACATCTATTTTCGGATCTTCAATCTGAAGTTCCATTCACTCACAAACGTCATTCCAAAATGACGAAAATGAAAGAAATTTGTTGCGAGATAATTAATCGATCAATCGAAATCGATCCTTAAGAATATATCGCTAAGTAAGAATAGAGTTTTCTCAGTGATGAAACTCATCATGTCGACATAAAATGTATTTAAGATTTCTCTGAATTGAAGATTTTTCGTAAGAGATACGAATTAATACTTTGCATCGCATTTCGTATTCGAGTGAAACTTGAATACCACCTAGTTTCTTTCTAACTCGAGTACGCATAAAATTTCTGATAAAATGACGCGATGATCTAAAGAACCGTTAATGAGAGAAGATCCATTCCAACTAGATATGAAAGTATCGAGATCGAAGTTGTTACATCTTTTTGCCAATTCACAATACTAAGTATTGTTCGCCTAAAAATTTGATCCGAAAATGATGATTTTGAAAGGTTTTATTGTTTGATAGTTTCGAGATAATTAAAGTGACGTCATCAAGTAATCTAAGCGAATAGTCTATTTCTTAGCATCTGACCTAAAATAGTGAATCTTTGAAATAATTTAATGCTCAATCAAAAATATTCTCTAGGATTATGGTAATAATCACGAAAAAAACGTTTTCTCAGCAATGAATTCTATTATGATTACTTGAGAACTAAAAAAAATGTAATGATTTTTTGTTTGTTATTACAACTGCTGAAGACAGGAAAAGGTGTATATTTCAAGTGAATATGAAACTAATCAGGCCATAACGATGTCTAATTGATTTTAAGATTGCTTGTTCTATTTCCGTTAATTTTTTTATTTTTTCGTGTACTCGACTCGTGCTTTGCGCCGAATTTCGTATACGAGTGAAACTCGAATACCATCTAGTTTGATTCTCAACTAAATAATTTCAAATATTTCAACTGAAATGTGCTGAACGGTCTTTTGCATGTTTGATTTAAAAAGAAAAAGTGAACTCCCTATATGAGATATAACTAAAAGGAAATTTGATATAAAGCTGTTATTCCTTTCGTTGCATCATTCTCTTTTGCATATACGTAAGTTGTCCTTCGCTTTTTGATTGGCACATGAATGTATCGTAGACAACTGTAATGTTTGTATTTCAATTAACTGATAGAATATTCTACATTATGGTCAGTATTGATCTATTAGATAAACAGCAATGACAGATACTTGAAAAAAGCCAAAAGAATAGTATTCAATTACTGATGATGTATTTTAACATCTGACAATTTTATTTTTTTGATGAATAAAAGTATACTTGTTTAACCTAACACAACGATATAACATCTTACATGCTTATCAGATATCAGTCTTCGCTGATTGAAATAGTAGTTATCTTTCTTTTTTTTAAACGTAGCTACGAAATATTCGTTTCACTTTTATAATAAGTAAAAGTATAATTTATGTAAATAAATCCATAGACTTGAATATTTTACTTAATGTTAAAACTTTTTCAACACATTCGTTTCAGTACAACACGGTATTTTGATCTTAAAAAAGAGTTCTTTCTTTTGTCTATAAAATGTAATAATTTAGATTAATGTTTTCAACAACAAAACCACCTTGGTGTTCAAAATTGCCACGGCCACAATATTCTTCACTTGAACGTATTTCAATTCCATCACAAGAATGGTTTCAAGTTTATCGTGTTCGTCCTAATGTATTCGCTATTTATGAACCCTACCATTGGGAAGAAACAATATCTTATTTGGTTGTTGGTTCAAAACATTCTTTATTAATTGATACTGGTATGGGTATTGGAAATATTCAAAAAGTGATCGATTCTTTAGTACCTTCATCGGCGACACTTAAAGTCATAAATACGCATACTCATCATGATCATACAGGTGATAATTGGCGTTTTCCCGGAAGGCTTTCAGGTGTTCATTCAGATTTTGTTAAACAGAATTCAAAAGGTTCAATTGAAGAAGCACAAAATGAGATCAAACCAGGTATGATGTGGGAGACATATTTACCAGAAGATTTCAATCCTAAAAACTATCGCTATCATCCATATGAAATCAATAATTACGTTAAAGAAAACGATCGTATTGATCTTGGTCAAGGACAAGAATTACAAGTGATTTCGACTCCTGGCCATTCACCAGATTCCATCTCACTTCTAGATGAAAAACAACGTTTATTATTTGTTGGCGATGTTTTCTATCAAGGTCCAATTCTTCTCTATCGACCTGAAACTAATCTTCAAGATTATTTGAAATCATTAGAAAAATTAACTGAAATTTGTTCAAAAGTTGATTTAATATTACCCGGTCATAATATACCAAATGTTGAACCAAAATTAATAATTAAAGCAGCTCAAGCCATCCAAGAAGTTATGAATGGAAAAGCAATGGCAAAAAAGATAGACGATGAAAAGCACAATGAATATTCCTATGGAGAATTTTCATTTGTTATTGATCCATCCTTTTTGTAAAAACAAAATAAAAAATTCATCATAGCAAGTCTCTTCTGCTTTTTTTTGACAGCTTCTCATCACCAGTAATATTACAGGTCTCAAGCATGTTTAGGATCTGCACTTTTAAAATTGAACGTTGATGAAGATCCATCAACGACATCTATACGTTCAATTCAGAGTCAACTTCTGAAGATAGAAAATATTTTCTTTTGAGCCCGAGAATATTTCACCGGCCTCACGTTTCACTAATTACGGGTTTACAAACGGAATGCTCATTCATCGTTTATTTGCAAAAAAATATAAAGTAGAAATATGAAATAATTCTATTGCGTCTAGTTATGGTATATATAAACTTGACATGTATGTAAGATATTAGTACAAACAATATCAATGATCTTGAAGGAGTTAAAAGAAATTGGCTGTACTACGTATGTTAAGAGTACTTGTAATGTTAGGTAAGAATGAATATATATATAGAAGAAGTCAAATATTGATCTGTTCTTTGTAATATTATATGGATGCAAACACCTTTATATCAGAAACTAATTCATCTTGCATGAATACATTCGTATCGATTATGAAGCTTCAAATGTTTGATTCTATTCAAGATTGTTTTTTCTTAAATATTTCTCTATGATCTTTTTAACAAGCAGGTGTTAAAAAGTACAAAGCAAAAAGAAAAAGAATGCGTTCTTAATGATAATGAATTTCCTTGTCGTGTATGTATAAAATCAGTCTTTGTTACTCAAATATATCATTTTCAAGTAATAATGTCTCCCCATGGCATCATCGTATGTCTCGTCTTGTTTTCATTTCCTCAATTAGTCGTCTGATTGAATATATATATAGACAGGTTGACAAGAATCGATTTGAATGTTACCAGACATTACTCGCCGTTAATGTTCTTGACCAAGCGAACGCGCAGCATAGTCATCAAATTTCAAACGTCTTTAATTAGTCTTTTTTTTCTGTCTTCGTTTCCGTGCAATTAGAGAAGAAGTCAAATTGCGCGACAACGGCAAAAATCGGATGCAGCCAGTTGAGTCTGATTCTCGAGTGTACACTTTCTTTTATTCATTTGTCTGTCTGTCTATCGTTTCTTTTTCTCTTTATTTCTTTTTCTTTTTTGTACATATACATGCAGCAACTAAGTAAAGTAAGTAACTCGACCGACAAGTTCAAACAGCATAAGAAATTAAAAACAAATACAGGAAATAATCAATGTGTCGACTCTAAAAATAAATAACTCTTTGCTTTTCTATCAAAATTGCATCATACTTAACTTAATATATTTATTAACCTTGATTTAAACATACCTATCGAGAAGTGCAATAATGCGGAAATGAAAGAGGGCGCATATAAACATATAGACTACTCAAGCGTTTAATATTCTCAGTCGATCAATCTTAAATAAAATAAAAAGAGAAAAAGAAAACAGAAGCGAACAAGTGACTAACATTGAATAGATGAGACTACTTAGACGATTGGATGAGAAAAAGAAAAGAGACCAGAGGGCATATGAAACGAGCAAAGTGATTTTTCAATAAGCGAACATGAAAAGTACCATCTCTATAACGGGTTGAGCCCTAAGATGATAAGTAGACGACGACGACAACGAAGTCTATTGTGTCTCGAGATGAGAGAAAGACGCCGCCGTAAGCGAATATATATATTCAGAAGACGATCATGAACAACTGATGGCAATTCGTAAGTAGGTGGAAAGTCGTTCGAACTTTATCATCATATGTCCATGTACGATGACAATAGCGAGCACAAAAATCGATTTCGTAATCTTTTAACCTTTACACATAAATGAAAATAGCTATACGTATGTGGTGTGAAGAACAATCAAAAAGGTGTGTGTACCTAAGGAAAAAGATCCGATTACCGGAACGATTCAATGATAAACGATGAAAGAGATACAACACGTTCTCTTTTCTTTTTCTTGCTTTCTTTCTTTCGTTCATTATATTTAAACAATATAAAAGTTAGGTGTGTAATAACGTTAGCGAGCATAATGCTGTAAAACAAAAATAATTAAGAACAAACAAGAGAGAAAAAAATTCTTCTCGAATACACAAATTATGTGAAAGATCGATTAGACAATGACAATGATGTTAGATGATGTAATAACTAACAAAGTAAACGTGTATCACAAACATTGACGACAAAACGTGCTTGTGCTTTTTGCACCCTGATGATGCAGAAAAATACACCATATATCTTTTTTCTTTCTCCTTTGTATTGTATATGTATACTAATGCTTGCCCTTCTCTCATCTCTCGTTCTTTCTCGTAATACCAAAATGATTACAAAAATTCCAATGGACAATGGATAACTTAAAAAGAAGTTACACAATGCGGAGAATATAAGAAGAAGACGTCACTATTCTTGCCCTTTTGGTTTTACGTGATGTTAATGATGATATTGATGATAAGTGAGAGAGACATACTACACCTTCTGTAGTTAGCTCCCAACGAAGTAATGTATATCGCTAGAACAATTAGGAAATACATTATATCAAACATATAGTTGATGATAGATCGCCCATTGACGAACATACAAGTAGACAGTCAATCGATCAGCTATCAATTGTTGTTCAATGTATGTTTCCATTTGTATATTATTCATTAGTGTTTGCGACTAGACGCAATAACAATAAGATATTTGATGACAGATACAGAGAAATCTTTTTGCTCTCTATTCTTTCTATTCTCTTCTGCTTCTTATTCTTCTTCTTCTTCTTCTTCATAATCCTGTTAGTGATCTATGTGAAGGTTGTTTTTATGTGACATTTCAAAGCGACATTGATATGGAATTGGGTGTACCCCTTGCAGGCTAAACGGCTCATTAATGAACCAGTCAATTTAACAATTTCATTGATTGACACGGTACGGATATAAATTTGTTCTAAAATATTGTATAGAATTTATTCATACGTTAATTGCTTAGATGAAAATATTTTCTTTCACAATAGTTAAATTTCTTTTAAGAGAACATACATACATATATTGGATGTTATTTCAAGGCTAGTTCATTTGCCTCGCCTCAATATATGATTTTGTAGTCCATTCGTAGTAATTTACCTGAAGGCATTGTATTCGCGAGCTCCTCCTCATGTTCGTTCATTCATATGCTCATACATACACTTAAAAGTGCGAGAATGAAGCACAGAGGGAAAAAATGAGTGCACTGTTAGAATGTATATTTTATATATATATATATATATACGTATGTGTGAGAAGTATATGCTGTATAATATGTTTGTATGATTGACAGTGGCAGCAGTATTTGACTAGTAAAAATAAAAAAAGAGAACATCAGTCTTAATTCATTTATTTTCATTGTTCTCTCTCTCCCGCCCTCTCGCTAAACATCGGCTGGTAATGTATAGACGTACGAAAACAGATTATCGATTTTCCTTAGACAAATTGTTCTTGTCTGTTGTTATTGTACCTATTCGTCTAATTTATGGATCTCAATATTTCATTATATGCTGACCGAGAAAATCGAGTAATAGACTAATTTGACTGTCAAAATAGACATTGTTCTCGACGATGTCAAAAGATTGATCATAATCCTTTCTGTTTTTTCTTTATTTTAATGTATCTTTTGTTTCGTCATTCTTTTTGTCGAATAGTCACGCTTACTAATTTTATGCACATCTCTTATCAAAGAAAAAAATTAACGGATGCTGTCATTGTGACATATATGTGTAATTTGAGATCTTCGTTACCTTGTAAATAATAAATGAAAATATCTTTCGCGCAAAGTCTCCGGAACTACAAACACCATTGTATAGTTCAAGGCTATTTTTTTTTATACTTGAACTTCCTGAATGAGTATGCGAGAGCGTCCGCATACATGCATAGAAAGGCCGGCGTCTACCTAATCAATAACCATGCACCTCAACGCTTTGTCATTTGTGCAAAAGCTTTTGTGTTCTTCACTTGCATGTTACACACACGCCTACCCCTCTGCCCTTCCTTTCAATATGCTAATAATTGTTCAAGCTCAATCTTTTATTCTATTATCACTACAAAGAAGCTCATTCTGTAATTAAACAGAGCCATTGGAAAGTGTCCATTTATAATCGTCTTTATTACGAAGGACAAATGATTCGATGATTATTTTTGACATGAGATGATTTATTTATGAGAACAAAAAAATATGATAATCGATCATTTATCCCTTGTGATCATTAAAGAGTAGACAAATTGAAATAGTATTTAACGAGTCAGTTCGATGCGGTAATATTTCTTCTACCGTAGCATATTTGCGTGGAACAAAAGAAAGAAGGAAGGAGGGAGGGACAAAGAAAAAAAGAGGAGTGAGAACACATTGTCACAGATGTTGTTGAAGATAAAGAAAATAGTTAACTCATTTCTTTTTTGTTGAATATTGAACAGAAGTGAAGATGAATATAAGAAGGTTTATTGCCTCTTGACGGATGCGGCAGCCGTATGCGCTTTACGATTGCGTCACGTGTAAGCATAGATGTAAGTCTAAAAGTTTAGCATGGAAAAAGTCATGGTCCTATCCAATGGCACCATGTGTTGGCCAACACAACTTCCAAATAATACTTTAGTGCTTGAGAACGATTACGCCATTTTTTAGTTCTACGCTCATAGCTCAGGTGCGTGCGTGCATATAACATTTAGTATGCCTATGCTTTTTCTTCTCGCTTGCAATGTGCGCATGAGTTCAACACACATATATAAATATATATATAGAAGATAATGTCTTCCTTCTCTTTTACTATTGTTACTTCTGTTGTTGCTGCTGGTGAGCAAACATTAAGGTGAGACTGAGTATATATCTATATATACTTAAGTGAAGGTTGACCGAAGCCATACATATATATATATATATATGTATATAAATTATATTCGCTGACAAAGTTGAGTGGATGAGTACAACGACAATGATCAAAAAGGCCGTCATGATCGCATAATTTCATGTGTCTAGTTTTTCAAGTACTACCCGCGGCGACTATTGGTTTCTAATAAGTCTTTTCACTTTTTTTAAACTGAAGAATAACTTTTCTTTTCTAATGTTTTAAGCTTTTGTTGCTTCTATTTTAATTCAGGCAATTTTCGTTTTTTGTACTGTGCTTCTTAATCGTTTTCACTCAGCAGGAGAAGCAGAGACGATTGATTGAATAAGTAGATAGGAGAGACAGAGAAACAGAGAGCGGGAGAAGAAAAATGAACAGAAGAAAAGAGAAAAGAATACTAAGCGAGAAATAGAAAGGAGAGAATTATGATTATTCTTCAGGGAAAGAAGAGAAGAAGAAAAACGAGAGAACAAAAGAGAATATGCAGTCTTTAAATGAACTAGCTGTTTTTGAAGCCAAAATTTGTTCAACTGGAAAAATAAGATGATGCTTTAAGTAAGTATCTTTACTTAGACCTTTTCTTTTTACATGTAGAAAAGATTTGTCATACGTCATTCTTCTTTTTCTCGAACTCAAATACGTGCATGATCTCATACGACATGTCTGTATTATATATTTTTTTGGTCTAGTTGATGATGCATTTCGATGGCTACTTTGCACCTTTATGTATATGTACATGTATATGAATATATATAAAATCTTGTCATAGGAGAGCAGCTTTTTGTGTGTATTTATGAGTGTGTATATAATCGCCGCCCTACGTTTTTCTCTATTCGATGATGATGATGATGATGATGATGATGATGATGATGATGAGCGTAGCGGGAGATCTCCCATCCGCACTCGTCATTTCCGCTTGTCAAACCATGTCGCCGGCGAAAGACCAAAGAGAGGAAAATGATGTACATAATGATGTCTCTTATTCAGCCTCTCTCTCTCTCTCTCTCTCTTTTATTTTATGTCGGAACTTGTATAAGTTGAAAATTGAAGAGTAGTAGTAGTAGCAATGGAAGTACTAAAGTGAGTAACAGAATAAAGAGAGAAAGAGAGTGAACGTGTATATTTTAATCACTGCCTATGTGTATGTGTGATTGGATTTCAATCATTCTATGCGATTATGAGTTATGTTCAAGATTGATTCTCAAGAGAAAAAAAGAGTAATGTATGCGTGCGTTTATGTTTCTGACTGCACCGTACATGTGAAGATTCAAAGTGACCGATCCGACTCGACCACGTACACACTTTATTCAATTTGTACATGTACTATGAATTGATATGCTTCTTTACTCTTTTAAAAACAACATGATCGATGGACACGTCAGGCTTCCGCCAGACTAGAACCCATTTAGCACCTGTTCCTGGACTAAGGTGTGTATACTATAATTGCGCTTCATTAAAAATATAGAAAGAAGACGAAATGTGAACCATATGAGAAAAGTATATATGTGTGTGTGTGTGTGTGTGTGTTTCTAATTGATTAAAGAAATAAAGCTACTAGATTTTATGAAAAAAAAAGTAATGTGTTTTTAATGAGCTTATATTTTTCTTTTTGTTTTTTCTTTTATTCAAGGTAATCAATCAAACAATAGTTGATAATGATGAAAACTAGTTTCTTAGTCGTATTTATTCTTTTACATTTTTCAAATATATTTTGTGATCCTATTGAGTTATCAGAAATAATTATTCCTGAACATACACCAATTGGTCATCTATTATTAACAATTCATCCTTCAATAGCCAAAGAAAAATATTCATATCGTTTTGTTAATAATAATTATCGTGAAATTCAACAATATTTTTCTTTAAATTCTTCGACCGGTCAATTACATATTGCGAACGATATTGACCGTGAAAAAATTTGTACTCATCGACATAATAAATGTAAATTTCTATTGAAAATTTTCGAATTATTCAATGAAAAACTTTACCATATACCAATATTAATCGACGATATCAATGATCATCGACCACTGTTTCCCTATGAATCATCTATAATTCAATTACATATATCCGAAAATTCTCCACCATATCAATCAAAATTATTCATTCAACAAGCGTACGATAGAGATCAAATAGATAATCAAAAACAATTAAAGTATCAATTAAAAACAATCGATGAAGCTTTTCCTTTTCGTCTTGAAACTAACATTGATATATCAAATCGTTTAGCACTTGTACTTACTCAACCACTCGATAGAGAATTTATCGATACCTATAATTGTACCCTACATGTTACCGATACCGCTGATCATGATGAACACTTATACATTACAATTATTATCGACGATGTCAACGATCAATCGCCAATGTAAGTAAAATTCTATTAGTTTTAGTCTTAAGAAAGAAAAAAAGCTTTTTTCTTTCTTTATTGAATAGTTTTGAAAGTGAAATCTATTCAGTTGAACTATCTGAAAATATTCCCATTAATACAACGATACTTCGTGTTCAAGCTTATGATAATGATATTGGTTTAAACGGAGAAATAATCTATGATTTTATTGATGCATCAAAGCAATATGCTAATACATTTTCATTAGATAAACAAACAGGCCATATTCGTCTTCGTTCATCAGTCGATTATGAACAACGATCATCCTATATATTTTATGTACAAGCACGTGATTGTGGTAATGAACCACGTTCATCGCAAACATTAGTTAATATAACTATACTCGATGTAAATGATTGTGCACCGAAAATAAGTTTTCGATTTCTACCCGAAATTATTTATACGCCATCAAAATTTCTTGTTGAAATATCAGAAAACTATCCTATGGACAAGTTTTTTGCACAGATTCTTGTTACCGATGATGATAGTGATTATCGTGGACAAGCACGTTTATGGTTTGAAACAATCGATGCATATAAAGAAAAAGATCTATCCTTTTATTTATATCAACTAGATAATTCAACATATTTTTTTAATCGAACGAAACCATTCGATTTCGAAATACAACAATCACATCGATTAGTATTTCATGCACAAGATTTTGATAGGAAAAATCCTTTAGAAACAAATCAAATATTAACAATCAATGTTCTCGATGAAAATGATAATCATCCGAAATTTTCCAATGCATTCTATCATTTAAAACTTAATGAAAACAATCTGGCCAATACTTTCCTAACACAAATCGAAGCATTCGATCCTGATAGTGGTGAAAATGGTCGTCTAACATATGAAATCGAAACCAACGATACATCATTACCATTCTATATCGATTCAAATACTGGTATGCTCTATTGTTCGAAATCTTTAGATCGTGAAAAACGTGATCAATATGATTTTCAAATAATTGCACGTGATCACGGTAGTCCAATAAGTTTATCGTCGAAAATTTCCATACTCATCGATGTCGATGATTTAAATGATCACCGGCCGAAATTCGAATATGAAAAATATGAATTTTCAATTGAAGAAAATTCTTATCCATCGAAATTAATTGGCATTGTTCGTGCCTATGATTTAGATTTGAATACAAAATTAATTTATTATATTGAAAATGATAAACAACATCGATATCCATTTTATATTAATCAAAATGGACAATTATCCTTGAGAAGTTTTATCGATCGTGAAATTCAAGATCTATATGTATTAAATATTACCGTGTCAGATAATTATTTTAAAACAACTGTTCCTGTTATTATTAAAGTTTTGGATATTAACGATTGTATGCCAACATGGAATAAACCTTCGGAAAATAATACTATTCTAATGATAAATAAAGATCGAATCACGTTAGGAACGAGTATTGTGACAATCGAAGCTATTGATCGAGATGATAAAACGAATGGAAATGGTTTTATTAGTTATTCGATTGAGAATATTGATCCGTCAAATGATGAATTTTTAACATTAACAAATGCAGGTGAATTAATATTAAATTCAACACCTCCTATAGGCCGTTATCGTGTATTGATAAAAGCTGAAGACAATGGAGAATTAATTCAATATTCATCATTAATACAATTCTATTTATTAATCGGTGACAATAATACGAATGGCAGTATATTTTTTGATTTAAACAATGAGCTACATATCTTTAAATTGAATTCTTTATCAACAACAAAACGTGTCTTTTTATTATCGACATTTTTTATTTCAATCGCAATTATACTTGCATTTATTGTCTGTATGATATTAATCGTTATATGTCGATATCGACGACAAAAGTATTTATATTATATTAAATGTAAAGCTGCACAAGCCGGGACAAACAATTCAAGTCCAACAATGACCATTGTTGAAAATCATTTGACGACACTCGATGAAAAAAATTCTAGTTCAAATTCATCGAAATTAAGCCTGGTATGATCAATAGCCTTTTTCCTTCTTCTATTGATTATTTCACATCGAGATGTTCTGTTTACTTTTATTACAGGAAAATCTTCATCAAAAACGACTTATCGATCATTCGTCATCACCTTCATATACAGGTAAGTGACATCGCGTGAAGATTCATATTAAAAAGATTGATTCTACCTTGAAACTGTCGAATAAATAATAGCAAAAAGAAAATCGGATTTAGCTTTCTTTTTTCTCACTTTACAATTAATTGTATCGATCGGTAATAGACTAACAAAGAGAAAAGAGAAAAAAAATGATCCCTTCTCACGCCATACACACACACACACACACATATATATTTCTTTTACAAAGAGAATGGTCAGTAGCTAAACATATTTCTTATCATGACGAGATTAAGATCAAAAAAAAAAAGACTACACGAAAGAAAAAGTAAAGAAGACTGATCGTTAGGATGTCTAGATTATTGTTCTTTCTGATGAATAGTGTATTTTTGATATATATATATATACATAGAACAGTTTTCGTTTGTTGAAAGATTTGTGAATATGCGAAAGTGATTAATCCATTGATATGAAGTGACAAAAGAAAATCTTGATGATCAAATACGGGTGCGGCCATTTTCATATGTATAAGATAAATCAAGTATTAAATTGTTTTATGACGCTAAATAAAAAGTTTGAATGTCATCTTTCTTTGTTCTCTATTTCAATTTTTATACGCCGCTTGACATTGAATTAAAGTGATCAATAAAACGAACATTATGTTTTTCTTTTGCTCTTTCTCGCACATCAATAGGTGCAAATATCTATACACAAAATCATCATCATCAAATCTCATCGACATTAAAACCAACTCAAGCAACGAGTGATTATTATAGCAATAGTAGCAAGCATGAAGAAGGTAAATTATCTATTTTTCGCAATTCTTTTTTAAATATCTAACTATCAAAGATGTTGATGAATGGACTGATGACCAACAACAACAACAACAGCAAAAACCAATAATCGATAATAATAATGAATGGTCAATCGAGAAAATTCTTTATCCCGATTGGTTATATAAAAATTGTTCAACAGCAACAGCAGCAACAACTATCACGCCAAGAAAGAATTTCAATACATCAACATTTATGGATTTTAATTCTTATCGAACACTTGAAACGAACGGAAGCACAACAAGTAATAGTAGTAATGGAAGACGAACAATGTCTTCATCGCTAACATCTAATGGTCAACCATCACCGAAACAAGTTCGATTTGGTTGTCAGCAACAAATTGATGAACAAACACGTTCTTCATATCCACATTTAAGTAGTACAGCAATTAAACAATTGAGAACAGGTATAAAAACTACAACTATTTTACAAGATGATGCACACGATACATTTATTTAGCCATTATGTTTTGTTTTTTCTTCCCTTCTGTGTGTGTTTTTGTTGTTAATGGACCTTGTTCTGTCTTGTTTCTTTTCTTGTACAGAATTTTAAAAATTTTCGGTGTCTCTTTCTGTTCTTCGTTTATCGAACGAATGAGAAAGAAAACAAAAATAAACTAAATATTGAACAGATGTATGTAATATGTTCGAACAGGAAGACGTTACTTGATAGAGTGTACTGAGTATTCTCTCTTCCCGATAGATGCTTGTTGAACATAGCAATACGTCTATCTATGGTTATTCTGATTTAACAGATGGATTAGATGCAGACAAGACAGGAACACTTGTGGTTAAAAACCGGAAATTAAACGATAGAATTTTATTATTAAACAAATGAGAAAACAAAGAAAGATGTAAAATGAAAACACAGCATCCTTTGATAAAGCCAGATATCAGAGGCGTATGCTGTGCACTTGAAGATTTTTATCTAATCGGATTATTTTTTATGAATAGAAGAAAAAATTCAATAGCTAAACTAAGAGTGTTCAAGGGCAATGTAAACTTCAAGAAGGAAAATAATAAGTCAACAATTTACATAGCAATTCATTTTTGTTTGTTTGATTATTTCAATATCATAAGCTACGAGAGAATAGTTTACCTACGTATATAGGCTTATCTGATACAAAAAAAAGAAATGTTTCGAATAGTTCTGTTCTATTGTAAGACTAAGAATTTATTTAGTAAAAACAGCTAGTAATGTAGCTAACCGTCGAGTGCAATTCAATAATCTGAATATATTACAGAGAATAAGAAATGAAATGTCAAAGAGACATTTGATGCCCTACTCACATTTTAATTTCTAATGCTATGTTCTTATAGGCAAGTCTCCTAGTCGAACAAACAAGATTAACTATTTTGATTACACAAACGATAGATTTAGTATGCAATACTAAAATATACCCTAGACATTTGTAGTTGAATTCACAATTTATACGATAATGATACTTTTTTTTGTCTTTTTTTTTGATTGAGAAAAAAAATGAATATATCGAAATACTTTTGCTATTGAACAACATCGTTGTTCTTCTGAAAATCAATTAGTTCCAGCATATTTTATCCAGGAAAACAATTCAAAAGAATCATTATTGATTCATCTAGGAAACATAGGAGGAATAATATCAAGGGAATAGGATTAATTTCTTTTTCTACACTTCATATGACAAAAAACACTACGCATATTAGCATTTGCTTGTCAATGTTCATACAACATAACAGGATAACGACACAGAGCGTACACATTTGATATCTAACCTTGACCTAAACTACAACGTTTGAGATATTTGCCTGTACGATTAGATAACATCTTGTTGGTGCTTTTCTGTTGAAAAAGAAAATTCATCAACGATGGTCAAGGATGTTTCCATTAGTGAAAATCGTTCTGTACGTAACATCAACTTTGACCCAGGATCTGCTCAACTACCATTTAAACTGTATTTCTAATGAGATAATTTCATCATATAAAAATATTTATTGTCTGTTCTTTTTTAGATATTGGAAAGTATTCAAGCCAAATTTTTAGATTATAATGGCTCAGGATCAAATGTCATGGGAAAAATGATTTTATTGCTTCAACGGAATATCTTTCTCGATTTCTAGAGCTTAGTCATAGATCAGCAATTCACAGACATTCCCGATGAGACTATATGGAAACTAATAGAGAATCTCTCGTACTTTTATTATTGTTCTCATGAAACTATTCATGGTATCGAATTAGATCACATTTCTACAATTGTACCAACAGACACACGCCCATTGTTTGTGATATGTCATCAAATTTTCTAACAAAACCTTTTGATATTACAAAAGTAAAATGAACCGTCATGACAATGACATTTATTTACAATATTCTTTCTTGTAGTTTGCACTTGTATTCGCTAGCGCACAAAAACATTTCGGTGCAAGTGATCTTATTGAGCAAACTGTAAATAAATCAATACCAATTCTTTTTGATTATAGAATTCAAATAGGCAATGGATCTATTCAATTCAATAAATAGAAAATATCGTAGCCGTGTAAATATTCCATTTCGGATTGTAAGAAATGGTCAACCGGACGAACGACTTGAATCATTATTTATTCATCAAGCGATTCAATCAAATATGATTGAATTTGAAAGGCCATCGGATTGTTGGTGGTATTCGAGTAAAGCTGTATAATGATATTAAGTTCAATGAAACAAGTCAACTTGTTGATTTAATGCGAACATTTAAAAGAAAATAATAATATTTGAGTCAAGAGAACAATAACAAATTTAGTTTTTATTGTATAGAGAAAAACAGAAGATTTTAAAATGTAAAAACGATTTTATCAATAATGAATCAGTTTGTTATTTTTTGAAAACAAAATACTTTTGTCTTGTTTTTGTCGATAACTAATAAAAATTCATCGATGCAATGCGTTGTCCTTCAATCGTTGGAAAATTAAACACATGAAATATTTTGATTATTTATAGAAGAGCTTTTGTCAGAATGCACAATTCTGAAAATAGATGATTTTTCATATGCATCGGTTAGCTTTCAAAAGGGATATAGAAGACTTTATTCAGTGTGTGAGAAAATAGCGTAATTTAGTTTTTAATTTACTCACATATATTATTAAAATGTCTTTTTTTTCCTTACATTCTTATTTGATAGACGGTGATGAAGAAAACTCATTTTGCAAAGTCATTACATTATAGTGCTATTAGATTATTTTGTTTTTCATTTTCATATCGCTCGTGGTAATTATTGAAATTCTTGCTTAACATTGCCAGAACGCAATAACCTAAATCGTCGTCTTTGAAAAAATCTTCAAATAGAATCCGTAAAAAAGTTTAATTAAATTCGTGTCCGATACCAGGATATATTTTGTTCGTCAATCTCGTTATAAATAGTCATTTTCTTCACGTTTTTAAAATGCGATGTTTTCCTCCAAAAACTTCTCGCCGATGAAAAAAACCTGACATACAATTCCGTTTGAATTATTCAAAGAAAAGAATTTCAATCGTATTAGAAAGATCAGAATACAGAGATTCTCTAAATGCTTAATTGATTTTCTATTATCCAATATAAATATTTCATGTTTTGCCTTTTAACTATTTTGTTTTGATTGAAAGAACATGGAAATTATTTTTATCCAGAGCAACAACGCTCATTCTTACCAAACACATTACGCCTATGCACTGTATTGTAGAACAGCAAAAAGACTGTTGTTACCCTAGTAACGATAGAATTCAGACTTGAAAGCAAAAGAAAAACGAACAAATACTACAGTAGTGTCTACTCCTTTTTCTAAGTAGATAAATACTTGTAAATCGATCTAATCTTCGTTGAATCGTTAGTAAATATGAATGAAAGAAAAAGAAGAAAAAATCGAGACCAAATTGACTAACTTAAAAGGTGTAAAATAAAAAACTGACCGATAAACATTTTTCAACGATATGAACCTGTTATTATTCTCCTAGAAGCAGCAAAGCAAATTTCTTCTTATGTTTATATGCTTGAAGTACTTGAGCATTTTTTTTCATTTCTCCTCTCTTCCGTTCTGCAACGATTTTTATAAATTTTCACTTGTCTCAATTGAAAAAGAAAATATAAAACACGCAGCATTTATAAAACTTCAAGCACTCAAACATCAGAATTGAAAATATTAGAAAAAAAACCATTTGCCGTTTTGTATATATGTGTATATATATGCATGCTATAGATTATGAATGGTAATTTTTTAGTCGAAAGTTTAACTCCTATTAATTACCGGTGATCATTGATTTCAATGGAAAGTAAGAGAGAAACTAACGTAGTAGAATTTTAATATACTTTATTTTCTTCTTGTTAAGAGTATAGAATACTTGGGAAGAAAGGTGAAGGTACCTTTTCCGAAGTATTAAAATGCCAAAATGTACGAGATGGGACATTTTGGGCGGCTAAAAAAATGAAGCAATTATATAAAAGGTAAATTATAAACGATTTCGAGATTTAGAACTTGAATTTTATTCGTTTTAGTGTCGACGAAATACAACAAATACGTGAAATACGCGTGCTGAAACAACTCAATGGTCATCCAAATATAATTTTTTTACGTGAAATTATTTTGTAAGTCTTTTTTCGCTCTCGTTTGAGCTTTTAACGATTACATTTTTCAATTATTAGCGATAAACGAACTGGCACTCTATGTTTAATATTTGAATTAATGACTATGAATTTATATGAATATGTTCGTGGTCGACAACGATTTTTACCAACAGAAACTGTATGCAAATTCATGTTTCAATTAATTAAAGCTTTAGAATATCTTCACAGGTAATAACAAGAAAAAACATTTAAATTGACATAAAAAATTTTATTATTATTTTTCTTTAGACATTCATTCTTTCATAGAGATGTAAGTGTTTGACATAACATATATATATATATATATATATATATTTACATGGAGATATATTTGTTTTTTTACTATTAGGTCAAACCAGAAAATATTTTGATTAAAGATGATACTTTAAAATTAGCTGATTTTGGATCTTGTCGACAAACACTATCAAAACAACCATTTACTGAATACATCTCAACTCGATGGTAAGTTATTTTGGAGAAACAAAAAAGTCAAGAATATATTATGGTTGTTTTTTGTATTAAATAGGTATAGAGCACCCGAATGTTTATTAACCGATGGATATTATCGAAACCAAATGGATATATGGTCTGCTGGTAAACACGAGATGCTAGTTTATTTATTTACAAAAAAAAATCTTTTTCTCGTGTTTTTCAAAGGTTGCGTGATGTTTGAAATAATAACACTTCGGCCACTTTTCCCTGGCAGTAATGAATTAGATCAAATTAATAAAATTCATGAAATCTTAGGCACACCATCGCCTGCTTTACTAGAAAAATTTCAGCAGTAAGTTTATATTACTTTTTAAAATAGTAAATAGTATAATTAGAATAAGAAATTTCAAATTTTCATACATAAATTTACTTAGTACTAAATAGAATCAAACAAATAAATTAGCAGATCTAAAGTCTATTTTGATAGTTACTCTCACCTGATGCAATAGAAACTTGGACGGATTCCAATCTTTATCCATTCTAGGCCTCTTTGCGCTTGTAAGTTGTCTAAGTACAGAATAATCGTTCATAGCTACTTCAAGTATTTCTCTATGAGATTAGTGATAATTTCTTTTTGCTTAGTCGAAATTCTGCAGTCGACTTCAATTTTCCCACTCGTCGTGGTACGGGTCTTGCTCGTTATCTAACGAATAGTTCACCGGATGCAATCGATTTAGTCAACCAACTTTGTGTTTATGATCCAGATCAACGTATTTCAGGTGTTCAAGCCCTTCATCATCCATATTTTGCTTCAATAAGGTAAGAAAAATAAAATGATTCAACGTCAATGAAATTCGCTTTTTTCTCGTTTCATTATAGAAACCACGAAAGTGAACGTGTGCAAGAATCAAATGCTAGTTCGTCGCATGTTGGTCTTCGAATAACAAAAAATAGTGAAGACCGTTACATACGATCGGATTCCAGTAGTAGTGAATCGAGTAATGATGAGCCTATCACATCACCAAGATCAAATATTTATAATATCTCTACGACACATCAACAAATAATTAAGCCTGATTCTAGAAGAGTATTTATTCTTTATTTTCCTGCTCTTCTCGTTAGTAAATAAATCTTCTTTTTCTTCTAGCTCCTTTATCCACCGCCAAAAGCTCAATCATTAGTTGATACTCGCATTCAAGGTCAATCAGTGAAAAAATCGACTATGCAACATAAATATAATATTAAGACTAAATCGACGCATGCCAATCATCATTATACGCACAACAATAAAACTCAACCTTATTATAGTAGTTTATCAACGGTAGGACCAGATGGGCTGCCGCAAAATCAATCGCCAGCCAATGTTCTATCAACTAAAAGTGGTCAAATGCCTTTTTTACCAAGGATATCGGGTGCTTCAGCTTTTTCAAATTATTCTTCCAACAATGGAACTTCTGCATTGATAACTAACAAAGTAAAACGAATTAAATAAGAATATTAAAAAGAAAAAAAAAACGACCTTTTTTCAATTGCTAAGTAAAGAGACATTGGAACGGATTGCTTGCCGCCGTGAAATCTAATATGTTTGTTCAGAATGTGAGACTTTAGACTTTGCACGATATATTCGAAATAGAGTCAACATTAAATTTACGCAGCTATTTGACTTTTAATAATCTCGCATGTCAATGATACTGAATTCCATGAAAGGTCACAATCAAGAACTTCTAGTGCACACCAGATACGATTAATTCGACATTAAATATCAGTGAGAGCATCAGTTAACTAAACTGTACAAACAGAAATATACACATGATTGTTAAAACTATTGATCTTTAGTATAAAAGATTTATGACCAATAATTTGAAATCCTTAAAACTTAATGTATATATATACATATTATGCAAATTTGATGAAGACCTATAATTGTATTGTGTAGAATAGTTTTCTAGTTATCTTAATTGGCAATGACGATTTGAATGCATGATTTTTCTTTCTCATGATTTTAGAGCCATCATCCAGGAAAGAATCTTGTTGGCTACTATCCATTTGTATCTCATCGACCAGACAAAAAATAATTCTCCACATGCTGATCATATCCTCAATATTTATATCAAACGTTGTATATTAATATTTCATGCACTTTTTAGTTTTCACTTCCTGTTGTTATTTTAATTTTAATTGATTATATGTAAAACCAGCAATTTTTCCAAGAGAAAAGCTTACATAAATTGCGGAAACAAAACGATGTGTCTCTCATCAAAATTGATATTCCGCTACTTTGAGAGAAACTTTTAACGATCATTCTCGTGTAGAATTATTCGTTATTGAAATTTTTGCTCTATTTTCTTTTACTTGTGTAGGTCAATATTTTTTAATTGAAATTGTTTTAAGAAAAAAAAAAAGAAAACAAGCGTGCATGATGCATCAATTTTTATTTTCGACCTTCGACTAAGTGTCAAGCAATAAATAAGGACGTCGAATATTGAGTACTAGTCGATATTCGTCAGATTTTCAATGAGGTAAAAGCTATTGATTCTATATCGTGAGAAACTTTATGCCATATGATTCAAAAAGTTCAATTTCTATTCAACCTATTGAAGTGTACTCCACACTACGATGGAAGTCAGAAGCACGATCCTCTTAAATTCAGCGTAGAGGAAGTACGAGCTCCAGAGCGCACGGACACAAAGGCAAAACGGCTAGACTCAATGCGCTAATAATAAAAACGTAGCGAACAAGTCATTAAAAGTGGTCTAACGTTGCGGCTTGGGTGTTGATATGCGTAATTCAAACTGACTGAAGTATTTCTTGAAAAAAAAGCAGTCGGCGTCAATATTATGTCATTGATTTCATTCATACATTCGAGTTCCAGCCATTCAGACTAGCGGCGTAACCAGGATTTTGAGCTAGGGGGGGNTTGTTCTTTTTCTTTCTTTACTATTGTTGATCAAGAATAACATCTAGATTGTGTTCTCTAACACAAAAGTCGCTCGAAAAATTAGAATAACATTAAATAACAGCTAAACAGAAATATTTCTAGCGGGGGGCTCAAGCAGTTCTGGAGGGGGCTCAGCCACCCCCCGCCCCCCTCGTGGTTACGCCACTAATTCAGACTCATAAAAACACCCAAATCCTAAAAATCTATCCAAGGACTGAGAGTTCCTCTTCAATGAAATAGACAAATATATCAAAGATATATGAATATATTTTTTTTCAATCTAAAGGTGTTTCCATACTCAATAGGATCTTCTGCTGTTTATTAAAATTTTTAGTAATGATTGTTGTTCAAAATTCATAGATTATTCAAAAACAAAAATACTAGACGAACAAACACAAAAATAAACGTTTGAAGTTCTTGTCTAAATGAAGTTGTAACCAATTCATGTTGAAACAAAGTGTTCGCTACCCGCAAATTGTGTGAGCCATTGTTCTCTTATAGCGGTTGGTAACCATTGAGCATATTGAGACTCGTCCATTTGAATGTAACCAACAAGATTTGTATTTTCTGTTAAAGCTCCAGTTTCTGTGAAAACTTGACCTGATCTACGTGTCACCTTTGTGTCTGAGGTTTTACCAGAAACATATAAGCAGAGATGGCAGCCAAAATTGTTGAAAGTTGGGTCGTGTTTATTTAATTCTGTAGTAGCCTTAACACGAACCTCTGACATAAAGTTGTAAAGCGAAGCAAGAGTGGTATTATCAGGATTCGAAGCAATAACGCCAATACGTGGTGTTGAGGACATCCAGGCAAGTTTGAATTCATTTGAGTTTGCATCAAGATTTGATAGAGAATAACTCTCAGCTGAACTATTTCTAGCGTATTTTTTGTTAACACAATCCAGTTGGTATCTTTTGTATTGTTCTCTCTTTTTTTTGTCCCAGGCTCTCATTCCATCCTCAACTGTTTGGGCATTATTCCATTCTTTGTTGTTTGCTGGGCTGATCTGTATAAATGGAAAACAATGATAATTTCTTTTTAAGATAGGTTTTGAATATATTGCGATACTATTGCAAAAATATTTCATAAATAAAAACTCTTAATTAAAGTCATGAGTATCATAAAAGTTTTTCACCTGAGTTTTGGCTGCATTCATGTAGGGTACCATAGGTACACATAAATGTGCATGCCAGTGACCTGTATTCTGTTGATACCATTTTCCACGATGAAACGATAGTATGACCTCTTTGTTATATTCGGGGTTTGCAGCAAGAAAACTACCGACGAGTTTATAGGTTGCTTCAAGTTCTTCTGGACTCGCATTTTGTTGTGGTCGATATTGTACAACTACAAAATGTGGCCGAGGTGTCCATGTGTCATAAACTAACTTAACAGATCTTTGATCTCCTGCATCCACAGTTACTTCTTGTGATGCATTATGTGAACTAGAAGTTGCCATTGGTACGATATGCAAACAAAAATTTCAAAAAGAAATGAGGATATTTTACTCAGCTTCTCGATTGCTATATGATTGTATCAGTGGGTTTTTCCCAGTCTGGATGTAAAACACATGCCGCCACTGTGTGTAGAGGATTCATTATTTTATGGAAAAAAAACGAGAACAGAACAGAACAGAAAGCAATAAAAAAGCCATGTGCTCCAAGAAAGCCAATAAACTGTCCAGCTAAAAATTATCATAGTTAGTTATTATAAATGGATTTTTTTAAAGCTTTGAAAAAATGTCGATTGAAAACTTTCTATCGGATAAATTTTATTTATTATGAATAATTAAATGAAATGAAAAAGTTTTTATGTTTACCAATAATATTGACTTAGAGAACATAAAATTCGAGTGATGTTTTTCTCAACCATAAAAAAATTTCTATGTGTAAAAATGAATCATTGTTTTGCAGGAATCGTGGTGCATCTTCTAACAATTCTATGGCAGAAATATTTCTAGTTTAAATAAATAGTTAACGATATTCAACTTGTCGACATGTAACAGTTTATCTTTTCCTTTCTATGATGACAAGATAAATGCTATTTTTGTTGAAATCTTGAAGGTCTAAAAATTATTTTTCGATAGTATGCAACACTGTTATAAAAAAACGATCTTGTTCCACTGTCGCTGCAAAATCTTTATTCTATTGAGATATTAAGTACTGATTCAAATGATATGGCACCAAAGATAGTTATATCATAGGCGGCGGATCCATTAGATTTGGTGAGGTTCATTTAATTTGAGAAAAAGATGTAGATCTCATCTTTAATGTAGACACGATTGGCAAAATTTCGATCGATTGTTCTTTAATACTTAGTCTATTGCTCATGAAGATTAACAAAATGATAAAAAAAAACCTGCTAAAAAAGGCAAATACAACGCAGAATCTTGATTGGTGACAAGTATCGCATGAATTTTTAAAATGTATGTTAGGGTGATCAGTAGAAAGTGTCTGTTTGGTTGTATTTAATGTTTTTTATCTTTGTAGTAGTACCAGATTTTATTTTTATGTTTAATTTCATCTCTTATCATCCTTATCCTTATATAGAGAATCGCGTTTCTTGGATAAGCTGTATCATGTTTATACTAGAGATAATAATGGATGCTGCTTTTGTTTGTTGATATAGAACTCGATGTGGCACTTTTCGTTCAAGAAAATTTTATTGACTAAACTGCATTAGAAACGTTTGATGGCTATCATGTTTCATATATCTTAAGATAAATAAAAATATTATTGGGCTAAAAATAAACTTAAATATTTACACAGACGATCAAATTAAAGCTTAATCGCAAGTACGAATCTTCACACGAGAATAAGACGGATTGCTCTTTTTCTTGTATTTTATTATAAATCGTCACTGAGTAAAATCGAAAAAAAAAGCGTTGAATTCAGAACAGATTTATCTTTATTAATCAAAATAAAGCAATAAAAGAAAAAGAAGTTCTTTCAATAAAAGTATTTGTTCATCATGCAATTGCAGTTAATTAAATCTACTTGATGTTCGATCAACTTTCGAATGCAGATCATCATTGCTGTTATTAACGTCATCAAGATTGAGAAGGCCTACATTTACATTCTGTTGATGCCATTTATCAATCGCAGCAAAACCTAATCGACAAACAGAAAGTGGTGGATTTATTAATGGATTTTCATCTAATATTGTCGATAGGTAGTTCTTTCTCCAATCGAGTTGTCTTAATGTCGTTAACGTACGGGGAATTGTACGTAATCGATTTCGTCCAAGCCAAAGAGTTGTTAAACATTTCAACATACCAATCGAATCTGGTAGACGACGCAAACGATTATCAAAGAGTAAAAGTGAGCGTAATTCTGTAAGTTCACTAATACTATCGGATAATTGGCCTAATTTATTACTTGATAAATCAAGGAATGTTAAATTTTTCAAATGAAAAAATGATTCTGGAAGTTCGCGTAAACGATTATTAGCTAGATGAATACTTTCAAGTTGCTCCATATAGCCTATTGTATCCGGTAAAGCATCTAGATTATTGTTCGAGAGAACAAGTACAAGTAATTCACGTAATTGACAAAGCTCATTGGGTAATTTACGAAGAGCATTCGTATCCAATATAAGAAAACGTAATTCAGCGAGACGGCCAATAGATCGTGGTAATTCATTTAATTTAAAATCAAGAGAAGCTTCCCGTGTTGGACTTAATTCTAAATAGGATATATCAGGATAGGCAAAAACATCCTAAATAATAAAACGAAATCAAATTAGAATTCCTCCAATGAGATCCGACGACGTAAAATTAACTAACTGAATTAATCGTATGAAGGTCACGGCCTGAACAATAAATACGTCTCCCATCGATTTCACTCATTTCACTGCTGTCGCTCTCGTTTGTTTGTTCAAAACTGGAACTTATTGAATAATCTACGTTTGGCACTTCAATTTCATTCTGACTTTCTTCTGCCAACTCGAGTGTCCACCTACTTCTTTCACTTGACAACATCATTGAATTTCTGCTTTTTTTTCTTCATCTGTCACTCAACATATCCATTTCTTTGCACATGTAAAAGTCAGATCAATTTTCAATTTTACTACTCAAATTCTTAGTTGATTTCTAAAGAAAAACATCATCGTTTCGATAAATTTATATAAATATTTATTAAGGTACACTGAACATAATACAGAAAAATAATTCGTTTTTTTCATTAAGAGAGAAAAAGTATCAAGGCTATATTTCAAAACGACTAGAAAATGTCTAAATCATATTTGATCCGTCAATTGTAACTGACGATTGAGTAATTGAATAAAACTGACTTTACCATTAAGTCCACCAGTTGCAAAACTAAAATTTATAATTTCTACTACGTTCAGAGCGTGTGTTTTTTTTTTGGGAGGTATTCCTACTTTAGTCCATTTATTGAAACAATCGATGTAAGCGGTGTTCCATTATCAACTTCAAGATCAGTAAAAATTGCTTTAAGCAAAGAAAAAAACGTTTGAATCGCAAAGAAAAATCTATTTTTCTTACAGTTCTGTTGAACATTCCAAAGAATTGCTCGGCCATCATTACTACAAGAAATTATCATAGATGCTGTTGGATCCGTAAATCGTCCACTATTCACTGTAGCTCTATGACCATACAGTTCTGAGATCAGTTTTCGTTGTCTAATATCCCACAACTGTTGGAAATTTAATTCGAAGTATATTATAGAAATTATTTCAAAAACGAAACTTACAGAAATTTCAGCACCACTACCATTGAAACCATTACTTGTTGACATCAATAAATTCACAAAAACAAAACAGCCGAAGATAGATAGGCAATGCAACTTAATTTAAACTACTCACTAGATAACGATCATCATTTGATATATCACATGATGTTTGAATATACTGCTTTTTCGGAAATGAAACAACTTGAGTCATAGTTCGAGTATCATACATTCTTAGAAAACAACAATAAACTCATATTAATGAACTGAAGAAAAAATATTTGACTATCATTTTCGGAGTCTTACTTAGTTTCTTTATCTTCGCCTGTTTGTGCTACAAATGTTCCATCGTGAGACCATTTAGCGTCTGTACTCTAAACCAAAATACCAACGTTTTTTTTTAAATCTTATAAAAAGAAGCTACACAAACCAAATTTCGTCCAATCATAATTGTTTTTAATATTTGAGCAGTTTTTACATCCCAAAATATAACTTTATTGTCTCGACTGCCACTAACCAAAACGGAATTTTCTATAAGAAAACGTAAAAATAACTTTTAAATATGCATCATTTCTTTCATATCAATTTTACGTGGATTAAAATCAATTGCTGTGACAACCAGTTCATGACCAAGTAATTTTTGCACAGGTAAATCAGAATTCGTATTCCAAAATTGAATTGTACGATCACGGGATGCACTCACAACTAAATTTACTACACGGCCATATAAAACTTTCACAACATCGTGTTCATGACCAACCCATCGACGGACAACACGCCGATTAATAAAATCGTATAATACTAATGTCTGTAAGTACGATATGATTATTTAGATTTTTTTTAATGAAATATTTATTTTATACTTTATCTTGGCCACCAGATAGAACAGTTGATGTATCGACAGCACATACGTTTAACACTCCATCTGAATGAATGGGTTCGCGAGGAGCTGCCTTTTCTCGTGTTTGCATAGAACTTCTTGCATTTGTTTCGTGTCTAAAGAAGAAAATATATTGATGAGATTATTTATTTTTATGTTCACCTTTCATTTTCATTTGAATGTTTTGATGATTTAGATTTAGATTTTTTTCCGAACAAATGTCCAAAGTTCATAGCTGATTATATTTAATATAGATGAATTAAAAACAACAGAGTAACTACATCCATGAAGCTGTTCAAAGGTCATGACGACCAAGAGATTTTCCTTTCTGGATCGTGAATAAGATGTCGCCAGTTTTTGATTAAAAACAAAATACCTACGTATGTGTGAACATTCTTTCAAATAAAAAGCTATTAATGATGCTCTAGTTTTTTTTTTCTGTTAGTTAAAATTCGTTATTGAATTAGTACTTTAAATGTTTCATTCAGTAGGAAAACAACAATAAATACAGTTTTGTTTTGTAAACTAACTACCTAAAAGTGGGCAACAGCTGTTCTATGCATTGTGATTTTTATTCAACATTATAAACAGGCTATCCCTTTTTCAATGCATATTTTCAAACTCTTCGACACTCAAACAATTGAAAGTTAAAAGCTTTTATTTTCACGGCGTGATTTCTCTATGAAAGCCACAGTATGTTTTTATATGAGACTGTCCTTAAACAATGGATCTCTCAGCAGTTGTTGAAGATGAAGAGATGATTTTGTTTTATTGAATTTCTTTTTTGATTGTCAACAATTTAAAATGGATGGAATTTGGAAATCAGTTTCGATATACGACTATGAGTTTTTAATTCATTTGATCAGTTCAAAAAATAAATTTTTCCAGAAGATGTGGGGATCTGGCAACACTGTCTATTTTACTTGACCAGAACTCTATGATTATCTTTTAAATGAGCCAGATCTTTCGAAACATATATTCGATTGTTAGATTTAAGTAGAGCTACGTCGCAAAAGTGTCGCTGAGTAAATTGGCTAAGTAGTTTTTACTATGTATTCTAATGAACACGTTGTAATTTTCTCAAGGGGGAAAAAGCGGATTCCGTCTATCCGGGATACGGTCGCGATCCAGAGGATCCAGCGACGATACAGAGGATACAGAACATAAGATCATAGCTAGGGGCGGCATTTCAATTTTGAAAACACTTTAATAGAGTATGAAAGTTTAAATTAATGTTTTAAATATTAAATGTTATAGCTAAGGACATTTTAGCTCTCCTGTAAAGTAATGTCTTGGACTCTTTTGGTCCATTATGGAGGGTTATTCAGGATATCTTCAAGTCTACTATCAAGGACTATCTGAGACCTTTTTGACACTTTGATAAGGATCTAATCGGATTTAGATATGCACTGAACTCGGGTTTACTCAATCATATACACAGGTCCTCAAGTTTTATATTCTGATGATAGTTCTAGNTAGCTCTTCAAATCCTATATTTTGACGGTACCTATACACATTGACGTCCCATGTTATGGTGCTACTCATTTCTCCTTAAGCCCCCCCCCCTCAGAATCGACTTGCCAGTTTTGAGCATAGGTTTGAGCTGAAACTTTCAGGGATACATGGTGGTAGTGAGAAACGCTTGTGGTAAAAATTTCAGTCATGTATACCTTACTAAATTGGACTTACGACTTGTTTTATAGCTTTCACGAGAATCGAAATAACTTCTTGACTGTGAAAGTTATCGAGGTCGAGTCGGTTTTAAATTAAAGCTAGCCTCCATACGCCACTTTTCATCACACAGAATTTTGAAATTTCCTTCTGTTCATTTTTTATAAGCATTTTACTCGGTATGACTGCCAAAGGAGGTATAAAAAGAGCACTAAATCGGACTTTTTCAGTCCAGGAAACCGATATCGAAAATCCGCCTGATAAAAGGTTAGCTATAATTGAGAGCTTTAAAATAAAATAAAATAACTGGGAAAGCTAAAGCCAAACGAAAGTTATAACAATTTTTCTGTTTGAGACCCATGTTTTCAGACCAACATTTAGGAATTTTTAGAAAGATGTGTGGGAGTAAGGGAAATGAAAGAGTATTTCTTCAATACGTCTGTCAAAACTTAACCTTTTTGCAAATAATTATATATATTCTGAAAGAGGAGATCACGGGGAATCTTCCTATGATAAAAACTCGATTTCTTTTTTTTTGAGAAATCGGCTTCTCTGAGGGGAGGGGGGGCTTAAAGCGGACATTACAATGTCAATACGATATTGCTAGTATTGGTATTGGTTTAGTTTTGCTATTGCTATTGCTATTGCTATTGCTATTGCTATTGCTATTATTATTGGTATACTATGTAAGTATCCATAAGTCATCAATTCATATATAAGGATGGTAATTCTTAGTCCCCATGTGCTATTTTATACAGAGATAAGTAACGCTCCCTTAATGGTAATGAAAACGTATGATAATTAATAAGTTAAAATCTTGTTTCATAAAACAAACAATGATTATTATATCAGTTGATAATTGATAATTATCGCAAAAGCGATTAGAAAGAATACAACATCGGCAGTGAGTTTTTTTTCTATATCACTTTATGCATAGCTCAACGCAAAATGAAGGATAGCAAACCCAGAAAACATAAGATTCATCTATGACTGATGAGCTCATTTATTTATCAAAAATCTTCCACCAGTTCATTTTTATCTAAAATAAGAATGAAAAGATTGGGAAATCCCATTTCCCAATTATTTCTGTTCTAATAACAGTTTTTTATATAATTTTAAATGATTCAGATACACAAAAATCGATGTTTCTTTCTTGAGATAAAATTTTTACATATTAACTACCATCCATTTTTATCTCTGTCAATGAAGCATCACTCGTCTCTGTATACAATAAAACTTGAAAACAGATCGATATCCCCATCGCTCACGGGTGGAGAACTTAAATCTATCCTAAAAATCGAGCATTTGAAGACCCAGACCCATCATCACAACATGGGGCTTGCGAACTCGGGACTATTTTCAGAATATAAGGCTTAAGGATCTAGGATTATCATCAGAGTATAGAGCTTGAGGACGTAGAGCTATTATGAGAATATAGGGCTTGAAGTGCTAGGACTATCATCAGAATATAGGTCTTGAAGGCCTAGAACTATCATCAAAATATAGGACTTAAGGACTCAAGGGTATTGTCATAAAATAAGTCTTGAGGACCCAAGCATGTTTCCATTATATAGGACTTGCGGATCGTGGGATCCGGGATACGTACAATCCATCGGGGATACAGGGGATACAGAGGATCCCTGCGATCCACAATCCGCTTTTTCCCCCTTGAGTTACACAGAATTCCTACGGATTCCGCCTAATTCATAACGGTTCCGGGATTCAGTGCACCCCCACTTATGGCAACACCCGCACTTATCGCAATACCCACACTGACATCCACACTTATCGCAACACCCACATTTACACCCACACCATGCAATTCCGGTACGGAATTCCGGGAATTAGGTCGAACAGGAATTGAACGGAACTGAACGGAATTACACGGAATTCCTAGGAATTCCGTCCGATTCCCAGTAATTCCGTATTGGCCTAATTCCGGAATTCCGAACCGGAATCGGATCATCACGAAATGGGTAAGACAAGATAGAATCGTGATACAAGTTGTAATTCCGGAATTACTAGGAATTCCCAGTGACTCCGCTTTCACCTAATTCCGGAATTGAACTGAATTCCATGGAATTCCGGTAATCAAACGAACTAATTCCGGAATCGGATAGTGTTCATATTTGACCTAATCCGGAATCGACGGAACTGGTTCCGAAATGTTCAACATTGCGGAATAGGATGACTACTCAAAAAATAGTGTTCTCAATCCAGGGCTGCCAAATCCGAAGGTGTTGAATGGAGGACACGTGGGGTAAATTTTCTTTCCAAATGGGATATATTCATGGGGCACAGAATTTTTTCGAAAATTCAAGGATATTACGTGAAAAATCAGCTGGTAAAAAGTGCATTTTTTAGGGATTGACAGACCATATTTAACTTTCTTTGTTTGAAACATGTTTCACTAATGTTGTTGTGTTTTCAGATGCTTGCTCAGCTGTTGTTTTGATTTTTTACATGATCTCGACATCTGAGTTGATAGAGTGGGCGTTACCTATTTAGTTAAAACTACAGGCAAAAGTGATTTTTCAGTCTTTCAGAGATCAACAAAGATGAATAAACAGAAATATTCGAAAACAAGAGAAAAAGTCAAAGATGCAAGGGGAAAATAAAGGATTTGGGATTTTCAGATTCCGGATCGAATCCTTTTCGATTTCAGTGGATTTTGTTGGGTTTCCAAGGGATTTTTACATAACTAATAGTGTCTGAATATTATGTTCCGAGGCATCTGCAATAAACAATAGTAGCATTAATTTGAGCACGCTTCCGACTTTTTGGGTTTGGGTATGGGTGACGATTAAGAGGCAGCCCACAGGCACAGGCACATCCACATCCAAACTCTAGGTCACAATGTGTTTCTAAGCATGTGCTGTTATCGGAAAAAATATGGTATTCTGCGATTGTGGATACAAAAAAGGAGCCATATATTTCTTTCTTTCAGATACCTAATTACATGATAGCAGACTACACAAAAAATAACGAAATATGCGCTTTTTAGACACTGGACATGGCGGCATACAGAACAGAATTTTGGTCTTCGGTGGCTGCTACGACGCAGCATATATATATATCTATGTACAAGTGCAGTAAAAGAATGAATTAAAAACATTTTACTACCACTTTTTTCTACTGAAAATAAAAAATCACTCAGCTAACAGTTTCTTACGTTTATTTTTCATAGCAAGTGACAGGAGCTTTGAAGCAACATGAATGTTTTTGTCCCACACTGGAAAAAATGAGTTCAAACGAATCCTTTGAAGTTTCGTGGAATTTAATTGCATAGCATTAGATATCGCACCGCTGACGAAAACATTTTAAGGTTTAGTAATCAAAGAGGTTCCGTGGAAACCCTCTTTTGATTTTTGGCTGGCAAAGAGTTTCGTATAACATCTCTTAGAAGTATCGCTGCCAAAGGGTTTTGTACAGTATACTTTTCCCTGTACATTTATGCTGTCGATAGATGCTGACTAATCAGAGAGTCGTTCAGCCTCAATTCTTTCATCCGTCTACGTATTTAGAATTCACTTTATTATCCCCTTTCAATGTTGTATAACTG